GAAAAAAAATCATTTTTGTAAAGGAAAAAATAAAAACCAAAAATTTTGAGGTTATGTGAAGAAAGTGTAAATACAAAAGTTAAACCATGTTTAACCTTAAAAACTCACCCGCCCTCCCATTTCCCGACCTCCAATCGCCCGTAAATTATTTTTCCTTTCATTTTTGTTATATTCTCTTCCTTTTCCAATGCGTTTCATCCTAATATAATTTTTTTTCACTTTTTACCATTTTTAAAGGCGCTCCTGGTATACGTTAGCATGACCTTGAAACGAAAATGTTCAACGAGTTAATGCTAAAACACGATTATATATGGCAAAAGTATTTGTAAAAAACGGTGTTCAAAACAGGCCGTAAACGATTCTTTTAAATTAAATTAAAGACCTAAATTAATTTAACACCTTCACAGACAGACTTTGCTGAAATTTGCAAACGATATATATACCTACTTGCTTAGTCCCAACTTAAATTCCAATAATTTTGTATAAATCTTCGCTAATTTCTAATGGCATTACAATCTGTAATACTAAACGATATTATTTAGAACTCTAAATAGTCTCCTTATATTATTTAGTCTCCAGAGAGAAAAACTCTAACGTGGAGCGGCGTTGGGCAATATCATAAAGTTCTCCGCTGTAGAACGCAGACGCGTAAATCTCGCGAGATATATAATTTGACTTTACTCCCGTGAAATGGATGCGCCCATTATAATCCCAGTGTCACGCCGCTCTTACGCTGTCAAATAAATCTCTATTAACAGGGACCCGTAGGTGTTTTAGGGTCGTCGTCTGGCCCGTCCACGGCCCGTCGACATGACGCCATTACGTCATAATTACGATTTTAAGCCCCGCCGGCCTTTTTAGAGCAGCACTGCTGAAATTCTCGGATATTAATACGAAAGTTTGCCGCGATGCAGCCAACTTTTTCTCTATCTATGTGTAGGTAACATAGGTCTATATAAGGTACAGCAGAAAATGTTTCTGTCGTGTTATTTAATCATTTAAAATCGTTGTTTAACTACTAACGAAGTCTAAGAAATTAGATGTACACAAAGTTTGGCTCGTCTTTACGAGGTCATAAGCTTAGAGAGTGCTAGATAGTTATTATAAAAATTACACAATATGATGTATGCACCTGAGTTCGACCCCGAGTGCCGGCACCAATGAAAAAAAAATATCGTAGGGAAGCCTGCATATTTTGGAAGTAATAAGAATAAAAACATTTTTCGAAGATATTTGAAGTCGGCCAATCTTCCCCGCATGGTGGATTATGCCCTGATACCCTCTGTACAAAGAAACCCTCTGCCCAGCTGTGGGACATGAACAGGCTGTTGCTACATGTTGCCATGAGAAACTAAATAAAGGTAATAAAATAGACATGACCGATTAAATCAGCCTTTTAGTTACAAAATATACAGTAATGGATAGATGAGCTTAGTGTCCTCCTGGTACTTTTATGTATACAAGTCATAAATATTTTGTCCTGCATTATACTTTTAACATTCAATATACAGAGGGCAATTTTATGATCACTTTTTATTTTTCGTTCATAGAAGACAGGAAGGCCATGAAAATATACGAGTAATAAACCCCAATAATTTCACGAACAAATATCCATTATATATTTTTATTGTCTTTATTAAAAATAATAAAAATATAAAATTATAACATGTATGAATAACTATTTTCTAACATGGCGTAAGCTAAAAAAATGTTTCGGCGCTCGTAGGTCGTTTCGGTCACTATTTGTCTATATACATATATAAAACAACTACCTACCTACTAAATTATTAATTAAATAAACTAATTACCTACCTAAACATTTTAAAGCAAACTTTTTATAGCCATTTCCAAAAGGTCTTTTCAACCACGCCGCGTCAACCAAAGTTTATAGTTCTGCCTACCGAAAAAGTTTGTGCGTCATTATAGACTTACAGTGGTGTGAAGATTAAACTTCATCATCATCATAATTTCAGCCTGTTTGAGTCCAGTTTTTTTTTTTTATGGGAAAAGTTGCCAAACGAGCAGACGGGTCACCTGATGTTAAGTGAATACCGCCGCCCATGGACATCTGCTACACCCGAGGGTTACAGATGCGTTGACAACCTTTTGAAAATTGGGCTCCGGCTATCTCACTCACCAGACGAAACGCGAAAGTATTTGTCATACTTCCAATTTACGCTGGTCATCTGTGAGGTCGTGGTACTTACCCAGACGGGCCTGCCCGTTCGTGCAACAGCCGAGGCTGCGGCGTGGCCCTACCACCGTGAAGTTGAACATAGCCCTCGCCCACAGACTGCCACGAAGCACGATCCTGAGCCACCTGCGTCCATCGACCTTCCGCTCATTTACACGGAGTTTTGTGAGGAATAAAACTCGATAACAATGATTCAGAAGTATGTTCAACAGAATTAATCGAAAACGTTATCAAAATAATTTACTCCGTGGCGTTGTTGCCAAGGTATTGGCTTCGGCTTCCTGGGTCGTGGGTTCGATTAACACACGGGACAACTATTTGTGTGACTCACAGAAAGTCGTTTCGCATCTGGCTGTTTGTCCACGTGAAATGTATATTTGTAAAAACGTCCTTAAAACACAGGATAATGTTATCCTAAAGTAATAGCAATTGTTTTAAAAAAAACCTAAAAAACAACAACAGTAACACGGATAGGCAGGCTTAAAGGCCAGCGTCAAGTAATGTATTGTACTTTCGCGTTTCGTCTGGCGAATGAGTAAACCGGGGCCTCCCCGTTTTAAAGTTCGTCTACTCATCTACAACTACCATCGCAGTGTTGCGGACCACTTTCTCGCTAGCCAACATAAAATTGACCTTTTCACAAAGGTTAAATTCAAGATAAAAGTATAATGAATGCATCAGCCTTTCGTACCACACGCCCTTATACAGATTAGAAGACAATTACAAGGGACAAATACAATTTTCAAACAGTTATCTGACGATTGGCGAACTTGTCACCAACTTAAAAGTCGAGCGGTTGACATAATGAACAGACTATATAATGTAAAAGGTAAATCCCGTTTACATGGTTCTTAGCAGCAGTCCATCTATTCCCTAAATACACAAACAGAGAACCAAGCTTTAAAGACTTTAAAGTGTATGGGATAGAGCTAATGTACACATACACATTTTTGCGAGCTCATCTCCTTATGGGTTTGGAAAGCCTAATAAGTTTGCTGTTAAGACACTTTGAAATACTCATTGGTACATGAGTATTTACTAGTCTTTAACTAAAATTGAAATGAATGAATGCTGGCAGTTAATTCTTATCTTATATTCCATTGTTATAACCCACTATCCCTCCTCTCCAATGAACAAGATAGAGTCGGATAGACTTAAAGCTAGGTAGAAAGTAAAATAGCTAATTGCTATCTAGTGGACGAGGAATAGTTTATGCTATACAATGCTAATCATACAACATTAATCGTTAATATGAAGGAATGTAGTTGTCTGTCGCTCCCCACGATTATTTAGCCCGCCAACGGTCTTGTCAGGTCCACACGACGTGCTCTACCATGTTCTCTTGATCTCGAATTAGACACGGAAGAAAATCGCGCGCCGAATTTCGTATTACAACAATCGGCGGCACAACTCTATTTCCGTGCCACGGACGACACTAAAGTTTTTAGGTTAAGTATTTTGGTAGGAAAACTATTTATAATCTGTTATTGTGATTTGACCTTCAAGTAATTGTTACGGATTGAGGGGCTTACGCTTACATATATGGTAAATATTTTGATACAATTACGATCTATCAATTTATGACACATGTAATGTAAATAATTATTAATATGGTGAGTGGCTAATGGCTTAAAAATATTTGTCGTAACACTGGCAGCGGTCGAACTCGATGAGTCTTCGCTTTTTAATATTCAGAGCAGTCGTGACGGATTCATTCCATCAAAACAAATATCGAGTTCCGAGCGTTTCGGTTTTATTTGTTTTTATAAGAGCCACAAGCTAAAAAAAATAAAAGACGCTTATAAAGATTCTTAGCCGAGACAACATGAACAAGATAATAATGACATTGGATGTTCATCGAACGTATCAGAAAATAAATTATATAAAAAATTATATAACCAAACAAACTGTAAAATCCACATACAATGAAAATACCCTTCACTGCATGTATAATAGTTATTACGATATGACATTGGCTATTACGTAACAGGTGCACATACTATGCTAATTTTATGATAATTTGCGTGGTATTTTATGCACTCTCTGAGAATTTCAACCTAGCAACCGAGTGACTACATCAGTTTTATGATCGCTTCTAAACACTGTGTAATTTATAATGTTCGTAAAGTTGGGTTTCGCTCCAAACTTTAATAAATGTATAAATTTAGTGCATTAATGTATCACAATTGTGTTATAGTATTATATATATATTAAAGTACCTGTGGTAAGAAAAAATTTAAAAGTACATACTTAATTTTTGTAAAATTTAATTAATAACTTAGCTCCTTAGCTTTCTTCAACATTTCTTTTGTAAGTAATAGAGTAGAAATAGCAGTGTTTATAGAGACATAGTAAAAGAGACGGGTATGCAAGAAGTTTACGTTAGATACCAAAGTTTTGTGTCAATCATGAGAACACTTTATATACACTTTTAAACGTAGTTTCACATTATTTGGAAGAACGCGTATGACATTTAGTTGTATCTGACTTGTTTAAAAACGCCCACAGAAAAGTTTGAGCATCGGAATAGCACAGAGACGCATTGCGAAGCTAAGAACAAATACACATAATTATATACTTTTGATTGTAGTTACGTAATTATTTATTTCCTTCGTTAAAATAACTAATCCACACCTATACTCCTAAATTTATTTAATTATAGTCCATGCAAAGGTTGCCTGGAAAAAATTTGTAATAAGGCCGGCCATTGTACCCGTCATTTATACATTAAGTTTATGGTTCTTGGTTACTTTATTTTGGTGTGCACTAAAGAATATTCATTCATTGATAATTGTTTTCCTCGCAGAGAACTCAGCGGCGACGGTCGCTACGAAACCCAAAAGAAGAGCCTACCTCTTGAAGAGGAAGGCACTGACCACGGGCTTCTTCGATCAGAGCAGGACTAAAGATGGTGATAAGGATAAAGGTCAGTAAATTACAATGGCTAGTTGACCCGTGCGTAATTTTCGAAAAGTACCAGGCCCGATCGCCGAATGGTAATTTAATTATTTGCAAATACGTCCTTATGAATGAATCTTATTGTTCCATAAGGGTACAAATTGAAAACACTATTTGCGTGATCGTAAAATTTGTAATAATGTTTAACAATATATGTGTTAAATGGACGCTTCTAATACTAGAAAAATTTGGAATGACAAGACAAAATTGAATACAAATACTGTCAAATTGAAAAAAGGAAGGAAAGGGATTGATGGAAAGTTCGATTTATAAATTATAGCAAAAAGGTTATATAGAAAACAAACGGCTCAAAAACTTATTTTGAAATGTATGAGTAAAGTTTTTAAATCTACGTCGCTTCGCTTAAGTCTTCTATCTCTCATTAAAAAATTGTCTAGATAAAATAAATAATTTTATTCGTATATTTATTTTTCCCTCAATAGTGATAAATGCAAGATTTAACACAACTTACACTGTGACATTTACTTTAGTTTTATATTCTTAATTAACTTCAAATAAATCGTAGCTTCTCTATTAAATCTAAATTATGTACCACTCAATCATGATCCACAAATTCTCATTTGACTAAATTCAGCCATACGAATAATCCATTGAATCCACTATTTAGATTATATCCCATTTACTAAGTTAACAAGAATAATTAAAAACGTAAGAAGGCTTCCGTAGACACCTACGTATTGTCGTAGCAGTACCAATTAAAGCTGTAGATCCGCTACGACATTGTAGAGCTTCATAATTATATTGATTGAGACTTTCGATAAGCTTTTATAGGCATGTGTCGGAAGAGGACTATAAATAAAATTAAAAAAAAAATACAAGTCCATAACTAAAATAAACATTTATTTAACTATTCTACATTTTAAATGAAACTAATTTTACGGATTTATCGCGTTTATTTTTAATTTTAGTTCCCGACGTTTCGAACCCTTTACAGCGTTCATGGTCACGGGACAGACTGAGGTGTTAGACGTCTGATTGTCAAAGTTAACCTGGGCTACCGTAAGTTTTTGTATTATTGATTTTGTGTCCGATCTATGCAGAGGGAGCTAATTGTATCTTGTCTTGCAGTAGTGGTTCTTTTGGGCCAAAACCATGAACGCTGTAAAGGGTTCGAAACGTCGGGAACTAAAATTAAAAATAAACGCGATAAATCCGTAAAATTAGTTTCATTTATAATGTGTAATCGCGTAAATACAAGAAATTATTATTCTACATTTATTAAATCAAAATAGTAGCATCTAATCAACAACAATGTAACATTATTTTAGACAATTTAAAACAATGTTTCTTATTTACTAAATACAAATATTAATTACAGGAATAATGATAAGATACTTATCTATCCTAAAGATAAATAAAATTGGAGGGTTTGTTTCTAATATTAAAATAAACGCTTTTTACTGCATATGGATGTATTATTTTAGACAATTTAAAACAATGTTTCTTATTTACTAAATACAAATATTAATTACAGGAATAATGATAAGATACTTATCTATCCTAAAGATAAATAAAATTGGAGGGTTTGTTTCTAATATTAAAATAAACGCTTTTTACTGCATATGGATGTATACACGGTACATATACCAAAATAACATTTTTCACAATTTTCGTCTGTCTGTCTGTTTGTTCCGTCTAATCTCCGAAACGACTGGACCGATTTGGACGGGACTTTCACTGGCAGATACCTGATGTAATAAGGAGTAACTTAGGCTACTTTTATTTTAAATTCCACGCGGACGAAGTCGCGGGCACAGCTAGTCTTTAATATGTTACCTACATATTAAAGACTAGCTGTGGTATATAGGTACTCAGAGTCAGAATGACAGGGAGCAGAGTAAATTCTCTTGAGATCTCGGAAGAGAAGCGCCGCCTGTATTGGGGGTACCCACTACAGGTGGACCTCGCCATTAAATACACAGTAACTAATAACCCCACTCTGTCCCACCTCTGACCACAGGTTATGACGTCTAACATTAACGAGATTTCCTTTTACACAGTTATAATTAAACTGTATTTTTCTATGTCTTAAGCTGATACAGCCGTGGAGAAATATCATGTCTTCAATCTTCTTTTTCTCCTTATATCCTCTTACCGCTTTGGCTGCCAAGCCATCTGGCAATGCGGCAAATGCTGCCACCGCGTATTCGTTCGTAGACGTCGCCACACTGACCCGAAATCATCGAAACGCGGCCGTCACTCCGTCATCGGATACGTAATGCTATCAGCTGTGTAATGCTGTCTACCCCGCTTGCGACGAAACTGAATGAGCGTGACGCCTGCCAATATATTTCGTTTATCTGGCCGTTGTTTGTTTTGAGTCTGTCGCGAATTGCGCCTGCCAATTTATAGAATACAAAAGTTTGTTGTATTAAGCGGTATATTGTAAATCGTGCATTAAGGATAGAATCGAGAAATCGAAAGAAGTAGAGTAACGTAATAAAGTGAAGGAAAAGGGGTCATGATCGTCAATATCATGAAGTATCAATACCGAAGGTTAAAAACAGGACAATATTGCTTGGACTCCGCTGTCAGTCTGTCAGTCCGTCTGGTCACTAGGCTGTGTCTCATGAATCGTGATAGTAAGACAGTTGAAATTTTCACAAATGATGTGTTTCTGTTGCTTCTATAACATCAAATACTAAAAAACAGATTAAAAAATATTTAAGTGGGGCTCCCATACAATAGACATGACCTCTTTTTGACGTTTCTTTAGATAATGGTACGGAATCCTTCGTTGGTTCGCGCGAGTTGAATCGCACTTGGCTGGTTTTTAATAAATGCCACAAACAACGAAAAAAAAATTAACTAGCTGCTGCCTGCGACTACGTCTGTGTAGAATAAGATGAAGGCGTCACATTCAGACAGAATATGTATATACATAAAATATGTATATAAATTATAGCCTATCTATGTCTTATTGTAATGTATAAGCTATATTATTGTAAAGTTTCTTTAAAATCCATTCCGTAGTATTTGCGTGAAAGAGTAACAAACATCAATTCATACATACAAACTTACGCGTTTAGAAGGACGTAACGTAAGGATAGTAGCGATTGATTAACCTAAACAATGGTAACTCTACGGCGGTTTGTAAGATGTAAGAATAGCGCGCGCCCATACGCACGTATGTTCTTACATACGAATAGATTGATAGTACGGTTAGTAGCAAAAGGCAAGGCTGCTTGAGAAGATCCAGGTGCGGTGATTCAGTGGTTATAAAATTCTTTATGACTCGCGGGCCGTTAAATCACGGTGATGGATTCATTATCCCGCAGTCCACCCAGTTTCGGTAAGTCGTCCATCTTCGGCCGCTTTTATTGGTCTCTAAACGTATCAATCCGCTTTAATATAGACGTCGTTGGCGCCGAAACTCGCCTAAAACTACTGTCTTACCCGCGAGAGAAATCCACGATCTGCGTTTCGTATCTGCTTGGGAACAAACTAAGCCGTGCTATTTTTATCTTAGAGGTGAAACGGGCAAGCTTTCGCCTGATAGGAAGTGATCACTGCCTACTGTGGACGACTGTGTTGTAGATGTGTTGTCAAGCTGTACGGAATATGGGTGAAACTTATTGTACCATCTAGTAACCAGCTCTAGTAACAAACTATTTGACTATAATGTCAGATAGGCGTGAAGATTTTTTTTTAAATTTAATTTAGTCAATGATTAACTAGACTAAAACAAAATTGTATTTAAAACCTAAAATTTAACAAAAACTTAAAGGTAAAACGCATTTAAAATAAAATATGAAAAAACTAAATTAAATAACTGCAATGCTAACTGGAAAACTAAATAAATATTCAATCAATGTGGGTTACCAGTGATGCCCTACAGAAACGAGTCGTGGGCCTTCACTGCTAGCTATATAAGGAAGCTCAAAGTCACTCAGGGAGCTGTGAAGCAGGTTATGGTATTTCTGCGTGATAGAGTTCGCAATGATGAAGTAGTAGCGGATGCCGACATAGCTCAGAAGATTAGTAAGCTGAAGTGGCGATAGGCCACGTGGGATATAGCTCGTTGAACCGATAACCCTTGGGGAAGAAAGGTTCTTGGGTGGCAGCTTCGGACTGGCCACCGCAGTGTAGGATGACCCCCAATAGATGGAGTGACGGCCTGTGCAGATGGGAGGGAAGTCAATGGATACAGGTGATTCAGGGTCATGCTTCGCGGCAATCTGTTGGGGAGGCCTTTGTTCAACAGTGTACTCTAACAATCTGAAATGATGATGATGATGATGATGATGATGATGATGAATAGAGCATTAAAAAATAAATAAATACATTTGAACTCTGTGAACTCTTAGTCTTATTCTTCGTTACTAAGTAATAAAGACGGATTTGAGAGAAAATCTTGCAGTTTTTTCCATCAATAGGTGAAAATTTGCGCACGGCTGATAAATTTTAAAGTTTTTTAGTGTTTGAAAACGGTCTTGATTAATTTAAAAATGATTTTGCCTAATAGGAGAGGTAAAAAAGAGCAATCCGAATATGAAATAACATTTCGTCTGCTCATAATGCATGGAGAAACTTATTCCACGATGTTAATCGTCTGCGAGGCAACGTATCAAAGCGTCTAGGCGCCGATTGCAAATTTATCCACGATATTTCTTGCAAATGTAAACATAAACATAACTGACATGGAATACATTGTATCCGTCCCAAACGGAGATTGACGGTATAGTGGTGGATCGAGAATAGCTCCTTGTGAACGCTCTTCAACAACCCATCATTACAAAATGAATGGGAGAAATCTTTGAAAATTATTTTAACACGATTGCAAAATTTTATAAAAAAAAAACATATTTATCTAAACCGTTTGTTAGTGTTAAGAGTACGTCTTGCTTAGGAAATTTTGTGTTCATAAAACAGACAAATTTCTATTATAAAATACAAAGTTATTAAATTGATTCTATTGTAGTTTTCTGAGTTTTTGGACCGAACTAGCTCTAGAAAATTGTGCCATAGCTATGTGATAAAACATATTTTATAATGCTCACCTGCATTTTATAAGGAACACAGTTTCCGACGTACGCTTTGTAATCAACGAGATACGGTCAATCAAGATATTCCAATGTTGCACGAATGGGTAGGCTCTTTCAGGAAAGTCACACGATTCCCAATAAGACCGCTTGTTCTGAAGATGGGCCACGCATCTTCCATATGTCTCCATAAAAATGTGTATAGTAGAGCAACTTGAGTTCAAATCCCATATTGATTGTTTAAGTACTGATGTGCCACATTCTTGATTGTGAAGGAATGTTTGGCTTCACCGGAAATCGGAGATATGTAAATTATGCCATTCCAAGGATCACGTGATAGTGATCTTAACACACGCACTCGGACATAGGCGGTCTTTACTTAGTAGGACATAATTATTCAATAACTTCTGCGAAATGCTCTAACTCTGAACCCATCGGCTGGGGCTTAGGTTATGTCAACTTTTATCGATCCACCAGTCAGTGTTAGAGTGCATAGAGTGCATTGAATAGATTTGTATGAACGGACGATATCATTTATTTGGTTATTTTCAACGAAGACAGACTTGCACTGATTTGAAAATAACGTAGCAGAAAGAACAAGGAGCAAGGTGTCGTGTCTTAGACTGTTTATTGTACTCAATTTGTTTGGTGTCTTTTGTGCTCAAGTTACAAACAAAATAAAGTAAAAATCTGTGTTCTAAAATATAAATCTGCGTTCAAATTACGCAAAAAAAAATAACAGACGAAAGTAAAAAAGTGTCTTACACACACACACTCCACAACTCACTACGAAATTCCGTTACACAAAACTCAGTGTGTCACAGGTCTATTCTTACCCAGTGAATAGGCCCCCAATCAATCATCCAATCCATCATCCGCACTGGCTAAAGTGAGGAGAATTTCAAACGGGGAAATATGAAAAATCGAAAATAGACAGGGCAGGCGCCAAGCGATTCGCACACAAACGCGCGCGTATAAATAGTTGGAACTCTTTGTGGCGTTGCGTGAGTATGATCAGTCAACGACCGTCGATATTTTGTTATGCTGTCCGATTTGAACTGGTAAACTATTTCGAATTGACGGACCGCAGTCTCTGACAACCGGCGGGCTTTAAGTCGAGACCTGGATTCAATTAGTCACCATCGGACATCCTCTGTCGGACACTGACAGGAGTCTTTATCATTAAGAACTGCAAAGGGCCTTGGCCGAACCCGTGTACCAAGAGTTTTAATAATACACTTTATTTGCAAATATAGGTAAGGCATAAGGTGAACAGTACAGTAATTTATATCGCTATATTCTGACCATTTTGCAGGGTGTGCAAATATTCCATGGGTCCATTGTTTTTTATTTGGTCTTTCCTTTTTTGTAAAAAGAAAAAAAATAACAGCCTATATATGTCCCACTGCTAGGCAGAAGCCTCCTGTGTACAGAGGGTCCATAGTCCATAACGCGAATTGGCTCACCTGATGTTAAGTGAATACCGACAAACATGGACATCTACAGCGACTGAGAGGTTATAGATGCGTTGAATTGAATTTTTGTAATTATTTGAAGAGTTCCGTTGTCTATCTCCGAAGCTAATCATCAGATCTGTATGTAATTTATATGGGACCATTTCGAAATAAAACCCTTCCAAACAAAAAAAAATATTTCGCCAATCCGTCTATATATGCCTGAACATACAGAAGAATCGAACCAACGACCAGAATCGTTTACGCTATTGGGCCAGCCGACCGCTGTTTATTTTGTACTTCGCGATAACTTCACGTATTTTTGCTGTTAGCTTTGAAACGCTGCCAACTCCCCTTAAAGCATCGCAGAAGTGCCACAATTCGGGTTCCCTAAATCACAAAACCCAAATGTAGGTCATGATACTTGGACACTTCAATGAGACGATATCGTCCTCTCTGTTTCGCCTCCAACTTAAGCGTCGTCCGTCCCTTTCTCGAATGTTTTCGATTGAAAAAGTGTCAGGTAATTAAATTCGTAATGGATTTCTTATTGCCTGTTAACGTCCACTTTGAAATGCGAATGACGTGCAAGTTTACATTTTCGTGTATAATAAACTTCAGAATTTTAATCTAGCGCCATGTTGTTTACATAAAATTCTAGATTCACGCCGTCTACAATGGTTTATGTTTACGGAAGTTGTAAGCATCACAAGGCTCATTGAGATCTCTTTATGGTTATATAACTATCACGTGAGAAACTGCTTAATTTTTATTCATGCATTTTCCTTCTTACCTTCAAAAAAATTACTTCCTCCAGTAAATGGCCAACTAATTAGATTTATATTAAAATGACTATTATATTTACACCAATCGAGATCCTTCAATACTTTAGTCGTGACTTTCAGTGTTTGATCAATAGGTAAAGGTTTCTTTGGTATAGGTAGGTGAGGCCATAGGTAGGTCCCGCAGAAAGCTCACTTTATTTGCTTTTACATTTTCATTCAGTTTCTTTCACCGCCATTCTTTGGTATAGGTAGGTGAGGCCATAGGTAGGTCCCGCAGAAAGCTCACTTTATTTGCTTTTACATTTTCATTCAGTTTCTTTCACCGCCATTCTTTGGTATAGGTAGGTGAGGCCATAGGTAGGTCCCGCAGAAAGCTCACTTTATTTGCTTTTACATTTTCATTCAGTTTCTTTCACCGCCATTCTTTGGTATAGGTAGGTGAGGCCATAGGTAGGTCCCGCAGAAAGCTCACTTTATTTGCTTTTACATTTTCATTCAGTTTCTTTCACCGCCATGGCCAATTCGGGGCAAAGGGTCACAAACACAAAATCTGTCATTCCTGTCGGTTATCGGTTCTACGAGCTGTTGCGCCTGCCTATGGCCACTTCTGCTTACCAAGCTATTGCGATTACCTTGGTTCTACAGTCTACTCCAGATACACTGCGAACTCTATCACGACGCCAATACTAAAACACACAAAACTTTTCTCTCGGTTATCAGTTATCGGTTATTAGTTCTGATTACCAATCAGAGCTATGTAGATTACCTTGGTTCTACTCCGGATACCTGCACTGCCAACTCTATCACTACTACTATCTTATCCTTTAAACGAGCAATATATAATCGGAATCTCGGAAACGGCTCCAGCGATTTTCATGAAATTTGGTATGTGCGTAGATTCGGGAGCGAAAAATCGATCTAGCTAGGTTTCATTTTTAGAAAATATCCTTTTATCTCTGTTTTTGGGGAATGAAAAATATCATTCGAATATGACGGTAAATTTCTCCGCAAAAAAAATGTTCTAATAGCTCGATCGGTAATCGGGCGACTCCAAAACAGACGGCCGTGGTTCGTGTCACGATCATTTACATACTTATTTTTTTACTTTTTATCGATTCCAGATCATTGCTTTCTTTATTTTTTATTTTTTGTCCATCCAGATAATTTTGTTCTTTTTTCCCTTTTTTTTTAAGTTCTTTCTTTTGTAAAAACACCAGATCATATTTTCTTATTATTACGTCGGTAAGATCGAAAAATATTATGCATGTTTCATTACTCAGTAATTTGCATCTAAATGTAATTTCCAAAATACACGATTTACCAAAAAAAAAAAACAGGTACAGTCCAGGTAAATAGTAAAAGACTATAATTAAGAGAAATACTGAGCATAGCTTCATTGCTCTGACTAGTGTGTCTTTAATGTGTGTTATGTATGATAGTTAAAAATAATTATCTGAACAGAGCCAGCCGGCAGCGTGTTCGGAGTGCCGCTGGCGCAATGCGTCGAGATGGAGAGGGCTCTTCGGCGGCAGCAGCACGGTGGTTCCAGGGCCTCTCTGGCCTCTCTCGGCGCTCTGGAGAAAGGGGACGACGTGAGTTACAGTCTTCTTCAAACCCGTATCTTTATTATATTCTATGTGTATATATGTTAAAGTACATAATTATATATTTATTGTTACCCTTTTTTAAGGTAATTGCGATAAAGAATATAGGTATAAAAAAATTAATAAATATTATAAAAGCGTTAGTACCCGATCAGGAGATTACACTACATAAAGATTCCATGGGATGTTTTCGGGAAAGAGTTCATGGGCCAACCGTACTGGATATTACTGCTTCAAATGCACGATTCCTGTGGTTTACAACATTGAGAAATGGGAAGAAGGATAATACTTTTCGTTTATCCGTAAACGGGCCTGCTCATGCGTTCAACTGCAAAAGCTGTTAATTTTTTTATTCATCTAAGAAGGTGGCAAGCTCCAGTGACACAGCCGCCCATGCACATTTGCAACACCCGTAGTGTTGCAGACTCGTTGCCACCTCTTTAAAAAGTGGGCCCCGGCCACTCACCGGACGAAACGCAGAAATATGACACTTCGACTTCACGCCGGTATACTGTGCCGCTAAAGTTACAGTACCTTATTTAACATAATTGTTCATTTAACGATGATTTTAATGCTTCATAATCTCGAAGTCACGTGATCACATATACAGCGTGTCGTTACCATCGCGACAATAAATGAACACACATTTAACGCTACTTGCCAATAATCATAAAAAAATATTAACGTTAAACAAAATCCATAATTAAAAAAGAATATTTTTCAAACAAACTAATTAAGTAAGAAAGAAACAAAATTTGTAACACCTTTACAACTCGCACCACAGCGTCATTCTCAAGCGTAGTCATTACAAGCCTCTCCCTCTAACAGTAATCTTTTAAATTCATTCAACGGATTCATAATTATGCTTTGTGACCTTTACAAACGAACTTTACGTTATAGTTTTATACGTAAGGGTGTTCTAAAATTGTTTGTTTTGGAAAATTTAATAACTCGGTAAATATTGATGTTTAAAGAATGTAAATGTTTAATACAATTTTAAAAAGTTATCCCCTATATGTGTGTTCATTTATTGTCGCGATTGTAAAGACACGCTGTATACATAAAATAGTTTAAAACATAATGCAATACAAAGCAACGGACTGGTACTTATCAATGTTGCAGTTAGTAGATCGCTTTTCGCCACGAATTACAGAGAAGACATAGTGGCTCAACCGCCACAAGTATTTATAGCTTCGTTACAATAGTGTCCACAGTAAAACCGTTTTTATGAGTGCTTATCGCGTAACGGATCAAATTTTCTTCTGAATCTATTTAATGGACAACTAGATGCGGTATTTATTATAATTAATATAAGACAGTATTGTATTTTATTATAACTGTTCATAAACAATTATCGTTATAAATTGAAACTTTCTTTCAACATATTTATTTAAAATAATCATTTTGTTAACAGGTTACATTATTCCGAAGAATCCATGTTGAAAAGAACAAAATTATTAGATTGGCTTAGTAAATATTTCCATCTAAGTTGGAATTGTATTTCATTTAAATATATCACAAATACAACACAACATTTAAATATAAGAAATAATCCTTATTGCAACTGCTAACATAATGCTAAGTTAACCGCAAATAGTCTTTTCAAAATAAAGTAATTTTGCTACCTTTTCATCCTATTAATTTTACAAAGTATCTTTGGTGTAAATCGTTTTGAATTTCAATTAACATCGTTTGGGAGTGTCAGTGGGTAAATTTATAATGACGATATAATCGTTATGTCGCAAGAGACATCTTCTTCAAGCATTATATCTCTACGATTCAACTACAACAACTTCAAAAACTTGCAAAACACAATAGATCAAGCCAAAACAAAAGTTTGCAACTGAAAAATAAAGTTATCTTATCACCTTCATTAAATTACTTCTCTCGAGTGGAATTCAATATTTTGTAATGAAAATGATGATACTCGTGGAGCATTTTTCAGTTCTAAATATAAAAAGATTAAAATGTTCTTATAACATTAATAAAAATTATTAAAAAACGATATGAAAAACCACGATTCAATGTAGCGTGGATGACTGAAAAATTGATTAAAGTATCCAATGAAAATAGTGCTAATTTGTTTACACGTCAGCGCGGAAAATGTTTTGGGTACAGTTCCAGGAAAGAAATGTTTTAAAACTCTAGCCGAGTTATACGTCCCTGATATAAAATTATCTATTATTTATTAAACTATGTAAGTTATAAATCAGAAAGCCTGTGTAATAAACTGTTATTTAGAAAAGTAATTAGTTTTCAACGGGTGATGAATACTTGAGTAAGGTTGGTTTTATTAATCAGATGATGCAAATATTTTCATATTTCCTGCATAATAGTAATTAGATTTTAAATTGCCAGTACTTTATAAAATCTACCATCGATATAAATCTGTACTTTTAATCTTTGCATTAATTTACTGTGTGTCTTAGAAAGATCCTACTATTTAAATCAACAATTAAACAAAAAAAACAAGCTTGCGGTTACTTTCTTAATTGATGATCAATTACAGAGAACAAGAAGAAATTCCTCATTTTATAAATTATTTTTAATAAAAGAAGACCTTTTAGTTCTCGGCACTCTTCAAATCTATAGCGAGCATTACTAGAATTTTTGGGTGAGTGCGTTGAGGGATCGTCTTGATTTTTCTTCAATTTCCAATTCAAATAGTAGTGCCGTGTTGAAAATTTCATCAGCCAACGCCAAAAACTTTTCCCAATAACAATTTTTAAGAATCAAATGAAAAACCACAATCAAATAAACCTAACCAATGAAGCAAAGAATAAAAACGATAATCAATAAAACATCTTGCTATAGATAAAATTTAAAACAAAATAAAATAATAAAAGACAATGAAATCAGATGAACTAACGCAAAATCTCATACGAAACTACAGACACAGTTAAAATAGAGACTCGACTATGACATTGTTGAGGAAACATTCGCTAGGCCAAAGTAAACATCGAAATGCGGATCATTTCAGAACAGACGCTGCATCAGACGCAGACTATTCGTATTAACACGAGGAGTCCCAACCTACAGAAATGCCAGCTAATAAATCAATGTAATGACAGCGCAATGCGATTCTGATTTACGCCGGGCGATTACGACTTGGAGAGCACTCGCGTTTCAATCGTCCGTAATTGTCTGCAGCCCTGTTCATCGTTTTGTTCGGCCATTATTCAGTTTTAAAGTGGACGATGGCCGATGGTTCTGAACACCAAAATATTTATATTAGCGTTTGGCAATTATTAACTCATTACCAAGCTATATTTTGAGAGGAAATTATATTAACACCTTCATTAAAATACTGGCTGCTGCCTGCGTCTTTGCTCGTGTGTATTTTAATGTTTTGATATGTTAATATAGTTTTTGATATGATAATTGAATATTCATGAATTTTGTATAAAATTTGCAAGTTGAGGCACTAAGTCGATTAATACGAGTAATCAGTCAACACAAACAGTTTATCTCATAGTAGAATTTTTGAAGGTGTGATAATTTTTGAAATTGAGAGTATGATAATAATGCCTCACTTGGATAAATCAATTGAACATGCTCTTGTGAAAATTTTAATGGATTTTTGTTCACTCATAGTTTCTCTCAATGAAAGGAATGTTAAACTTAAAAAATAAACTTTTGAACAATCATTTTCTTTACATCTATTTCTACAAATCCAAAAATGCTTAGGCCAGAAGAAAAATAAATGAACTCTATGCGTAATATTATAAGAATGATGATTAGATTTATCTTCCAAGATACAGTAAGTACTTGCTTAACCTCGGTCAATACTTAAACAATAAGCAACAGTTAATTGTCAACAATACTCCGTTTACTTAATTACGTGTACTGACTTTCTACGTACCTATACTATCTTCAATACATCAAAGAATTATTTGAAACCTTTGCTGATTTTGTGCATTTCATCACAAGACGCATTTTAACAAAAGCAAAAAAAAAAAGGTTCGATAATAGTGATGGGCTTGTGCCTATACATCACTATTATCGAACATCTAGTAAGACTTAGGATACTGTCTTTAGTTTGATACAACAAAAGAAGCCTCCGAAACTTTTCCCCACATTATTAATCCTCTTCTCTTGTACTTAGTGTAGTGACAAATTGCTACCTTAGCTATAACGCCTTATGTACACTATGTTTACTATATTTTCCTTTTGTGTATTTCCTTGTGTACAATAAAGTATATTCTATTCTATTCTATTACATTTTAATCGTGCGTTCGACATGTGACGGCGTGGAAGCACGGGCAGGTGTAAAAGAAGCTCTGGCATCAGAGGGCCAGCGTAGGGCATGACGTCACATGACGTCAGCAGCCGTCACGCGTGTCTGGTTACCTGAGCGGCCTTCCCCGGCGCGCTTTCATTAAGGCCGCGATAATTTTATCACATGACGCGACCACCAGCCATCCCGGTGGCCGAACAAAAATAGCCGCGTCTAAGCTTGTTGCCTCTCGACCTGTGCCCGTATCCGAAACCTTTCTTTCGTGTTACGCCCGTAGATACATTAAAACTCCGTTTTCTTTAGCTGTATAGCGGCTACACTCGTATAACGCGCTCTTCGTACTCTATTGTAACAAGATTCTTACCTTGGCAAAATATTTCTCAGGCAATTGTTCCGGATCTCAATGTTTTTTCTTACTTAATTTGATTTTGTAAAACGTCTTTACAACACCTGATCTTATGTTTTAGTTGTGGTATTTAGTTATTGGTAACGTTTAAAAAAAACAGTAGCTTCAGAATCGTACTCTGTTGACGGTTAAACTTGAGAATAGTATTACGATATTGCAAAGCAGATAAATGAAAATAATACTTTACAAATCACGTTCACCACTTGGCATTCTTTGTAACAATTGAAAAAATACTCGTCTCCAGTACGTACTGGTACGTACCCACGGTAAGATTTATGGACATCAATAAAATTCATAGTTTGTTTACCCGCAAATCAGTCGAAGTGTAATGTGTTGAGGTATTATTCGTACCTACTACGCATCTATAAAATTCATCATTTCTAATAAACAAATTCCTTTGTGTCATTGTAACGTGTAAGCAATTTCGGTTGAAAACTTATTGGCAGTTGATCCAAATAAATATGACCGTTATTTTCAAATTCCACATGAACTATGAGCAAGTATACGATGTTTTGATTACTGAGTAAAAAATACGAAAAAAAAAAAACGAAATGAATTAGTAACAGAATATTTGTGATTTCTCCCTAACGCTAAAAAGCATCCTTAGTAATTGCAAAAGGCCGCCTATTGGTGGAAGCAACTCGGCAACCATTTTGAAGTTGTATGTCAATATTTCTCAACATATCTTACATACAGATCTTGCCACTCAGCAGAATTACAATAGTCAGGAGTTACTCCACTGTTGAAGAAAATAAATAAAGTTCGCGCTTTGATGCCACCGGGTTGAGTAGGATCGCTCATGATCTTAGGCGTGCGGGCCAACAAGGTTCGGTACGGATCGCTACACTCTTTCGAGGTGCAATTCTATTCTCCATTTGGCAGCACTTTGTAGGCGAATAGTCATTCGACTAAGGTTTTTGTCCGAAAAGAAAAGAGCTATGTCGTCCGCGAAAAGCGCAAGTTCAACTTGTGGGTATTTAGGGATGTCGCTCGTCTTTGCATTGCTACGCGAGCAAAGGAGAGAGCCTTGAGGAACCCCTGCTATGAAGGAGCGGCTCGTAGAGAAAGTACCCTCAATTCGGTGTCGGAAAATGCGGTTAAACAGAAAGACTCGAATGGTCTGCACGGGCCCGTTCGGTACGTTGGGTGCAAACAGCTAGTAAGCAAGCCGCTATGCTGGATCTTGCCGAATGCATTTACGAAATCGAAGAAGAGTGCACCAGTAATGTTTTTGGCGATTGATGTCTTTCAAAATGTGCTCGGTCGGGTGAAAGATCTGTTCGGTGTAGGAGTGAATCGGTTGATAACCGAATTGCTCGGGAATTATTGAGTATCGGGATTTATATGAATAAACTGTAGAAAAGATGGCATGATACAGCTGTTATATTGAACCTGAATGGTAGAAAAGTTTACACCGATTGGGATAAGATCACAACATAATTCTTTCTACGGTAGTGCCTCTGACTATACCAAAGCCAGCAAAGGCTTTTTTTCTATCATTGCTCATTAGCACCGATGATTAATTAGAAACAGGTGAATAACTTGTTTACTTAACAACAAACACAATTTAAAAAAATGTGCGTGTCGCACCGTACACTGAAACTTTTTAACAGTGTATATAAATAGCACAAAGCACAATAATAAATATTAATTACAACGCCCGTACCTTGCTGATCATATATAGCGTCTGACACTATCTTTTTCGATTGATTTGTGTTTATTTTATACGTCGGTCCATCTTTACATTATATCTTTCATCTTTCTCTTATAACTAAACTTGCCGAAACGTCATGCGTCCTTGAAATTTCTCCTTTCTCAATTCTCGTCCAATTATCTCAATCAATCAATCAATCAATCAGCCTTTTGCAGTCCACTGCTGGACATAGGCCTCCCCAAGAGTAGGCCACAGAGTACGATCTTCCTCTTTCCTCATCCAGCCACTACCAGCGACCTTTCTCAGGTCATCGGTCCACCCGGTAGGGGGACGTCCGACACTACGTTTTCCGAGACGTGGTCTCCATTCGAGAACCTGTCTGCTCCAGCGCTCATCGGTTCTACGACAGATGTGGCCAGCCCACTGCCACTTCAGCTTGCTACACTTACGGAATGCCAATTATCTAGTCGAGATATTTCAAAAAAATGCATACCTATCTTCCGTTAAGTGTTACAATTACGAATTCCAGAGTGAGTCCTGCGATTCCGGCGAGTGGGGCTGGTCGGGCCTGGACGAGGCTGGCGGTGGAGGGCCGAAGGTCCCCGGTCTGGTCTCCGCGTGCCTCGCCCACCTGCGGCGGCACGGGTTGCGCACGCTCGGCCTGTTCAGGGTGTCTGCATCGAAGAAGAGAGTGCGACAGGTGCTAAACAAACTATCCAAATGTAATCCAATGCTTTGTGTACTCAACTTAAAGGCCGGCAACTTGTGCAATTGTGACTCAGCCGATGTTGGAAGTATCCATGGACTGGTGATCACTTACCGTCAGCTGACCCCCTTGCTCGTTTGTCTACTTATACCTGTACTTGTACCTGTATACCATACAAAAAACATTTCCAAGTCATTGTTGTTTCTGTGATAATTTCGAATGTTTGAAATGGTTGCAAACTTTTTACAAATCTACGTAGTATTGTTTTGTAAATGAATTGTACATCTTATATTATATTATATTATATTTAATTTTTGTTTGGCTTTTTGAACGATTAAATGATTTATTTATGTATCATCTTATCAGTTTACTTGCAATAATAATTGATATTGATAAACGGTTATTTTTCATGTGAAAAGTTCTCAAGCGAGCAGGCAGATCTACTGTTGTTAAGTGAATAGTGAGCTGAAGTGAGTGAACAAAAAAGTGAGCTCCAGTTGCCTCACTCACCAGACGAAACGTAAAAGTGTAATTATTACTCTTCACTCTTAAAATGGATCGAGTCAGAAATGTCAAGACAATCAAATTATTTTAGTTCGGCGTATGAAAATTTGGTAAGGCATACGAGTAGCGCACCTGAGGTGTAAAATAAAGTATTACTATATTTAACTCATAGACAGAGGTGATCCCGAAACGTATAAACCAATCAGCAACCGCACCACGGCTCACAAGCCCTGAAACACGTGTCATAATTTCGGCCGAACAATCGCGTTATTTCCATCGCATCGGTTCGATTTTAAACATCTACAATGTAACGGCAACAAACCGGGCAGCGCGCGGTTGCTATGACAGAAAATACGACTGTAAGTCCACGCAAACCGCGAGTTTACGAAGCAGACATCGATACAGCCGGTGGGATTAAAACATTTACCGACGGAATTAGATGTTTTGTCGGTGTTTGCGATAGTGCGCGTTGACCCAGATCGGTGTAGTGAACACTGGCGTGTTATGGGGGCGATGGGCAGATCCGCTCGGATAATATGGTGCGAATGGAGATTTAGATACGCGGCCGAGTTTAGAATCCGCCTATAAATAGCCGCTAATATCTGGAGTGAATAACGCCCACCGATACCGCACTCCGTCTCACTCCATTCCGATATTGGACCACTTATTGTTGTTTATTTTTAATTTCGCCGCGCATACACTGGACGAATGTGCTCATTTATTGTAACTGTTTGCAATCCACTGCCTACAACGTCTATTCGCATTCTATTGTATTAATAAACGAACAAAGTTAATATCTCCTCATGAAAAAAATATTAACTGAGATCAAAATCACATAAGTTTTCAATAGAAACTACGCTTAGCCTCAAGAATAAAAAGAGAACATACGAAGTAAAATTATACGTGATTGAATTACTATTAAGAAGGTTGACTGGAATCCTAGTTATAAAAGTCTTTTAAGAGAAGAATATGTACCTGTGTTCTACGCTAGATTATCCAATGGTAATACTAAAATATCAACAAGCATTATAGATAACTGTATTTAAACTTGATAAATTGGTATCTTATCAGTGGCTCTCAGCTTCAGCTCTGGTTTGTTGATTGCCAGCTTTAACTTTTCTTTTATGTGAAAAGTGGTCAAGCGACAAGACATCTACAACACTCGAGGACTTGTAGCTGTAGGGCTTGTTGTGTATACGGTTGTGCAACAGTTGAGCTGCATAGTGGCCCTACCACAGTGAAACATATATATCATAGTTATATATATGTTTTTACCATCTGTCATGTGTAATATCCCTCTGCAAGATCCAGGAGTGTACAAACTTGACTGTGAATGTGGGCTCTCTTACATAGGACAAACAAAAAGAGCAATAAAAACCCGCGTGAAAGAACATATAGCTGACATAAAACATAATAGATTGAACAAGTCTGCAGTTTGTGAGCACACTTTAAATAGGCCCAACCACTATATCAGGTTTGATAGACCACAGATCCTTGCAAAAGAACACCGATTCCTCCCAAGGATGATTCGCGAGGCTATGGAAATTAAAAAACACCCTAATTTCAATAGAGAAGAGAGGGTTGGGTACTACCATCAGCTTGGGATCCAATAATCAATAAAATTAAATCTAGGCCCAAACAACCGATTCCTCCCTACTGCAAGGGTTGGGTACTACCATCAGCTTGGGATCCAATAATCAATAAAATTAAATCTAGGCCCAAACAAACCACTACTGCAAGACAAGATACAATCAGCTCCCTCTGCATAGATCGGACACAAAATTAATAATTCAAAAACTGAGGGTAGCCCGTGTTAACTTACAATCAGACGTCTAACACCTCAGTCTGCCCCGTGACCATGAACGCTGTAAAGGGTTCGAAACGTCGGGAATTAAAATTAAAAATAAACGCGATAAATCCGTAAAAATTAGTTTCATTTATAATGTGTAATCGCGTAAATACAAGAAATTATTAATATATCATAGATTCATAGCACAAAAATATCAAATATATACAAGTGAGTTTTAAAACAGTGTCGGGCAGTGTCTTTGACAGAATCACTCCAGTTTGCTCAGATCAACTCTATACGGAACAATTTAGAGTAGCACTGAGACAGGACTGGTTCATTCGGACATTACAAAACATTCCTAACTGGTTATCTCTACTTTTCCAGCTTCGCGAGGAATGGGAGCGAGCTCAGGATGCGGCATTGGACTCCGCGGTGTGTCCCCACGACGTAGCAACCCTACTTAAGGAGTTCCTCCGGGATCTACCCGACCCGCTGCTCTGCAGAGACTTGTATCCTGCGTTTTTACAGACTCAAAGTGAGTGCAACTTCGACGTTCCGTTTTATTCATCCAACGTTGTTTCTTATGGCGTTTAAATTCTGAAAATTATACCCACTAGTTTTGTGTCTTCTAGCGCTTCTATCAAGTGTGATTTTTTAGTTTGCATATATCTCAAAATAATTCCTCAATTTCGGTATGCTAGTATCATATCTACCTTGTATATCTATTATAAATATAAAATTAACCTGTGACAGTGTTAGTTGCCATACTCCTCCGAAACGGCTTGATAGATTTTTATGAAACTTCATACGTATATTTTGCAGGTCTCGGAATCGGTCGTAATGTATTTTTCATACTCCTAAGTGATAAGAGTGGTCCACCCTAAACATTTTTTCTACCCTACAAATATTTTATATGGCAAAACAACCATCGCTCCAGGCTCTTTCAAGTGGAATTTAATAAATTGTACACATACTTGTTATTTTTTTGGCAAATTAATTTTAAATAAAATGTACCGCCGGGTGTCTGTCGCCGGTTCTTCTCAGGTCCGTGGCTTTTCTTTCCGAACCGGTAGTAGGGTTTTTTGACAATCAATAAGTAAGTGTAATGCTTCTATATTGAATAGAGATATTTGATTTGATTGATTTGATTCAACGTTTGGTGGGTCAGCTATTTGTTTACTATTGTTGTTTACTTTCCTATAATACGCTGTGTAAAATAATTTAAGATAACAATTTTGAATGCAAAATAAAATATTATGCACCACAAAAACATGCTCACTCGAACATGCCACTCTTATTCGTCTTCTACATTTAACCGTCTCGACCTTTTTTCGTTTTTGTTGGGTTCTAACATCACCGGGGGAACGTTCCAGAAATCCGCAACCGCCGGCTCCAGTGGGAGGCGATGCGGCTGATAGTGCAGCTGTTGCCGGCGGCGCACCGCGACACCCTAAACGCTCTGCTCACGTTCCTCGCCCAGTTAGCTTCGCACGCGGAAGACGACGCGGAGCCCGGAAACAAGATGGACGCCGCCAACCTGGCGACGATCTTCGCACCGAACATCCTCCACCGGAACAAGCCCAACGAGGCTGCCAGGTGTGTGATAGGCTGTTGCTACGAACTGAGACAAAGACCTGGTGCGTGGTCTGTTGCTTCGTCATCCAACAAGGCCGGACAGATTTAACTTTGGTAGAGATTAGCGAGAGAGAAAAATTCCTAATTTAAAGAAATAAATTAGGATACCTGCATATTTTCCAAATAACAACAAAAAAAATATTACGAAAGTATGTAAAATCCGCCAATTCGCAGTGCGTTCCCGTGGACTTTGCCCTGATATCCTCTGTCGATACCTATGTTCATATTGTAAAATAAAATGTCAACCTTTTGACGTAGTCAGATTTGACCTTTTCATTAGTCTCAATAAATTCCTCAGAGTAATAACAAGCCGCGTTTCTGTACAAAAATCACCTGCACACGAAAGTCCCTAGTATCCCCTAGTAATCATGGTCCATTGACCGAGGATCATTGACAAGTGACCTATAAATAAAACATTCGTGAAGTAAAAATTTATGTAAAGTCGTGAAAATACAAACAATTAGGGTGTACAGAGCTGGGGCGCTGGGGGCCTCTGCCCAGTAGTGGGACTTTTTTAGGTTTTACTTTACTTACAATAAGATTGCAATCGTTCGCAGTGCTGAGCAGCTATCCGAAAGGGCGGACGTAATCAACGTGGTGAGGCAGTTGGTGGAGCGGCAGGCGGAGCTGTGGACCCTGCCAGCGGAGCTCCTTCACGAGGCGTACATCCACCTGGCGCACAGCGCACCGGCCATCTTGGACTCGCTCCTGCTGCGGCGCGCCGAGTGAGTACGCATTCGACCAGGTCGATTGACAATGACCATGCTAATGATACATTGCCATTTATCTGCTTGAATTCACTGGATATAAAGTTGGTAGCACGAGGACGATTACGATATTTTACTTCGCACTGTCAATGCTGCACCCTGACATGATGACATTAGTGCTTATTCTGAGGAACTCGAATTACCCGTATCGTTTTTTAAGTCAGAAGATGGCGGTTCCCCTGCGTGGACATCTGCAACACCCGTAGTGTTGCTGATGCGTTGCCACCTTTTAATAACGTGGGCCCCCAGCCTTACCTTAGCCCCAATACCTCGCTCACCAGATGAAACGTAGAAGTGTAACACGTCTACTTCACGCCGGTCTTCTGATGGTACATTACCATTTATTTTTATGCTTTATTGCTAACATAAAAAAGGTAACAAAGGGCGGACTTAATGCCCTTAGTAAGAGCTTATGGTAGACGCAAAAAGGGATACAAAAGGAAGTTACAAAATGTTATTATAGAAGAAAAATAACTATAAAAGTCGGTTGCACAAAGGCGATTTTATTCTTAGAAGTCCATGGGGAGATTATAACGGTATTAGTAGAAATTTGATAATCAATAAATAAGTGTAACGCTTCTATAGTGAGTAAAGATGCTTAAATTTCAATTCGAATTAAGCATCAGGTGAGCCGCTGCTTATAAAAAACTCTTTAGGATGATTAAAAAAAGATTTTCACCACAAAAAATTATTTCTTAAGTCTCGACAAGAATGGATACTCGGTCTACGTTCCTCGTCTTTACACACAGTATAATGTTATCCCCTTACTGTAAGAGGCAATGTTTTTTCAGGGAAGACTGCAGTAGATCTTTCTAGGTCACAAAATACAAATCTTTGTGTGCAGGTGCGCGGCAGAGAGCGTGGCGAGTAGTGCGGGGGGCGTGGGTGGTGCGGGGGGCGTGGGGAATGCGGGCGGCGCGGCGGTACCGGGGGCCGCGGAGGGTGCCACGCGGCGCGTTTGGTCCCGGGAGCAGTTCCTGCATGGTGCCGCCGCCACTGCCGCGCCCGCCAGCACTTACACAGCCACGCATGCAGTCAGGTAAATCCCAAGTTAGGTATACGTCGGACAAAGAGTTCCACGGATGTGGGTCCTACCGAAGTGACTTCCCTAGAGGAGGCCTATGTTCAGCAGCCATTGTGAATTAGTACTGTAGAGTATTAAATGTACTTTTAATACTTTTCGTAAATGAAGGCGAACACATGTCTTTTTCAATTTCGAACGAGTCGAGCACATGAATATTTCAAACTCTTATGAAAGTCAAAGTTTTACTGCAGATTGATCGTTTTCACCGTTTTAGGGAAAGTTTTAAAATCTGCGCACTGATTTTATTCGTAGCCACATTGGTGACGTTCCCTAATCAATTCTCATTGTACATACATACAATAAACAGCGATGATTCGCATTCGTACACGAGTAGGTCTTAAATATTGAATAGTAATATTTAGTGTTTTGTTTGTAGCGCAATTTGTTCTTTATTATTTCCCAGCGAGAAGTCATATTCGCGGAGCCGGAGATCTAGAGATGCGGCGTCGGACACGTCATCGGGATCCTTGTCTTCGGCTATGACGATCATCACCAGGTCAGTGACTAGTTTTGAAAACGTTCCCCTTTCTTCTTCTTCTTAGAGTTCTAGAGTATAACTGATGTAACGCTTTCAGTCCTTAGACTATTAAAGCTTCATCGAACGCAGAACCGGTGGGCTAGCCAGAACTAGCGGGTTTGAGGCCCTCCTCAGTGGGAAAGGCCGCACATGTACTCATGCACACCCAGATCCGAAACTATTATCTGTGGGTCACACAAATAGTTGTCCCGAGTGGGAATCGAACTAACGACCCCCGGCGTACCTTAGAAACGGCGCCACGGAGTCATCAACTGACCATATTCATTAATAATACGATAACGCTATATATGTATCGTCAAATAACTTTATATATTTTTTTATGAAACGTATAAAAGTCATATTAGGGACACTTAAGGACACGATTCCTTGTCAATCTCAGTAGTCAGTAATAGTGATGTCAGGATACCCGTATTTGAATAACAATATACTGGTTCGAGTGCAGAGAATCGGACTAGAAATAAAAATTAATCCGAAAATGGCGACAGCTATCGTTACAAATGTTCATCATTATGTTCTTTGTAAGGTGTTGTATGTTGTAAAGATGCACGCTAGATGGCGCCACGCATTGTTAAAATTAAACAGAGAGAACGTAGATAGATGTCGAGATTTTCGCGCCGTCAAGTCTACGACAGCTTGGCTTATTTGGTAACGAAACTGAAACTAGGAGGCATATTCGTACCCGCAGCGCAGAAAGATATTTTTATTTTATCTACATTATTTTTAACAAAAAAAAAAACCGACCTCAAACAGAAACTAAAAACATTGTTAATACCTATAACATTTTAGGATTGCCCTCGATTTCTCTGGGATTACATCATCAGATCCGGGTTTCCTTATCACGGAACCACACTTGGGATATCCCCTCGCCGAGGAAAAAAGAATCATCAAAATCAGTTCATTAACGACGAAGTCATCCGCGAACACACATAAAAAAAAATACACAGTCGAATTGAGAAACCTCCTTCTTTTTAAAGTCGGTTAAAAAATATAATACAATTATTAGATACTAACTGCTGCCCGCGACTAACTCTGCGTAGAATAGGCTAAAGGCGTAACATTCAGACAGAAAGACAGATATACATAATATATGTATATAAATTATAGCCTATGTCTTATTCTGATGTATAAGCTATATTATTGTAAAGTTTTATTAAAATCCATTCAGTAGTATTTGCGTGAAAGGGTAACAAACATCCATCAATACATACAAACTTTCGCGTTTATAATATTAGTAAGGATAGTAAGATAATTTGTAACGTTGTGCCGCAGAGTGCGTAGCAGCGACGAGTGCGTAACCAGCGGGGTGGTGTGTTCGCCGTCCGCACCGCGGGCCGACTCAGCGCCCGACTCCAACGACTCCGCCAGCGACTACAACGAGGTGAGGCGCCCGCGCGCCGTACTAAGGCGCCTACGCTGTCGAGCGCCCGAGTGCTCGAGTGCTCGAGTGCTCGAGTGCCTGAGTTTTAGTTAATGATAATAATACACCTTTATTTCCTTCCACGAACAGTTAAACTGAAGCGTAACAGTAAAACGCAAGCAATAAATGATTGAATGAATTTTGTTGGAAATCAAAAATACTCTGTAAGAGTTGGCTTTTGTTCAAGTTTTCATTTGTTTATATCAAGTAGTGATGTACATTTAATTCCCCAGGTCCATTCTTTGTACGTTTTAAAATGATGACACTTATTTTGAAATATGATCAAACTTGTTTAATTACAAAAGAATTACAAAATAGATGAGAACTAATAAAAGATTGTCATAAATGTAACATAAATAATCAAGCAGATCAGTGACAGCAGCAGGAAAAGACGTTTGTTCCCGTTCTTAGTTAGGTTTTGATATATACGGATTTAATGCCTATTATAGTTTGTTAGTTTACATTAACACGTTATGTCGCCAATCTATCAATAAACGTTCCTTCAGGTTTTGGTTATTATTATCTACTCTTCTATTCGCCTTTGCAGCAACTTTGTGAATTCCTCTGCTTTTAAAATGAGTTTAAAGCCAAGTTATGTCTATGATGGCAATCCGGATTTTTAAAATTTTTTTATAGGATGTATTTTATATGATCTCTAAAATGGCAAGACCTAGGTCTTCAACTTAATGCTTTTCTTAAAAGTAACTTCCAAAAAAATTCCATCCAATGTATATTAAACTTCTAACGTCTGCTAGCACTATGCGTTAGTGCTAGCAGACGTTATAGTAAAAGATAGCAATTGCAATATTCGTTTAACCGAGGTAACTAACGAACAGACAATGAGATTTATACCCGGTTCCTATATTCCACGAACGGCCGTCAGTTACATAGCTTTGTAACTTTCATAACGACTTGTAGATAAATGGAGCGCTAGTAAATCACTTCCCGTAGGTAATGCAACGGCTCCTAACGAGAACGCCTCGTTTTGTTAACATAGGAGAGGAACCGGGCGTGCACGCCATTTATCTAAAAGTCGTTATGAAAGTGCCGAAGCTATGTAACTAATGGCCGTCTGTCGAATATAGGAGCCGGGCTTAAGACGACGCGTTTCGCAGACGGGCGTCGCCTCGGAGGACGAGTGCGTGATAACCGCCTCGCTGCACATCCCGGTGGCCCGCGCGCGGCGCCGCTCCGCCTCCGGGTCGTCGTCGTCGGCGAAGCGCGACTCGGCCGTCGGCTCGTCGTCCGCCTCCGCGACGGCCTCCGGCGCCTCCTCGCCGCCCGCCTCGCCGCCCCCCAAGGGCGACATCGACCGCCTCGGCGTGCTCGCACGGTAAACCGGTTGTTTGTGTAAAAAAAAGTGAAGTATCACGGCGCAACCTCGCCGCCCCCCAGGGGCGACATCGACCGCCTCGGCGTGCTCGCACGGTAAACCGGTTGTTTGTGTAAAAAAAAGTGAAGTGCGGCAAAAGAATCCGCCGTAAACCTGTTTCGTTTTAAATTTTCAAACATCATCTTCGTTAAGAGTCGTTTAGTCTGCTGAGTGAAGTAACTGGAGCTTTGTAAAGCATTTGGAAGGCCTCAGGTGTTGTGCGTATCCATCGGTGGCGGTAATCTTGACGTCAGCGTGGAGTACTAGCGTCCGTAACTGAAGCGCTTCTTCGCAGGGAGCGCAACACGTCAGACGCTCGCGCCGTGGTACTGAGGCAACGTGACGCCACGAGCCGCAGCCGGCAGGCCGCCACCGCTGCCACTGCCACTGCCACTGCCACTGCCACAACTACCGCCACAGCCACACTATACAAGCGCAACGAGCTGATTTCGAGCGCGCGAACGCCGCCCGCGTGACTCGCCCGGCCCACATGTTTTGTACACATAAAAGCATATTTATCGTATATATATTTTTTTCATTATTCAAACAATACAGTATTTCTCTTGTATTTTTATGTCGTTCCCGATGGATGCATTGCATATAAAGAAATAAGTCTCCACGGCAGTCTACTTTTATTACTAACAAAACGAGATTGTTATATAAACTCGTTTGTATATAACCTATAATATCCGCTAAATTACAAGCTGCTATCTTTGTCTACTGCGTTAATGCTAGCCGAACTAAGAAGTTTAATGTACATGGATGGAATTTTATGAGTCACTTCCAAAAAAAGCATAAACTTGTAAGACCTATATCTTGCCATTTATGTATCATAATATAAAATACTTATATCCTATACAAAAATGTAGAAGATCTGGATAACCATAATGCTACGTCAACATGGCTTTAAACTCATTTTTGAAGCAGTAGAACTCACAAAGGTACGCTTACTATTTAATAAATAACATACATTGCATATTATATAATATAGCGAGAGTTAATTAATCAATATTTTACATTATATTTTCTATTCCACTAAGAGTAAAATGGCTGTCCTGTTATGCAGGCAGGTTTACATATAGATAAAAACATAATTGTTATGGACAAAATAAAACTTTCTAGATTCTTGTACCAACTTCATATTAAATTTTTATTTACATCAGTTTGAAACATAACTTCTGGTGGTAATCTATTCTTTGGAACAGCTAAAGAAAAGATAGAGTAAGGTATATGTTCTAAAATTAGAACCTAAAGCACATGAATCAAGAATACTAATACATTTTTCCATTCTTTTCGTATTCGAAAAACATTCCTTACGAGTCGTAAATAACGATCTCCGTATATCGACGCGATGTTGACAGATTAAACACTGTTTTACAACTCAAAACTCTTACTTTTGTTATCTATTCATTGTGGACCCTGCAAAGTACTTAAAAAATCAGGTATTTTATGATATTTATGTCAATCACAAGACTATGTGTAAAACTGTCACTGATTTTGGTTAAACTAAGTTTGTTTGAAAGAAATTTCCTCAAACAAAGTAATAATTTCGTCAAGTCAAGTGTATCCTGTTAGCAAATTGTAATTTGTAATCACATGAATTTAATCAAATACCAAAAAAAAAATTCTTCGGAAATCAAACAAACGTTAAACGTCGTCTTGCATTTAATATAAAAGTTTTGGTATTGGTAACATTGGTACGGTGGTGTCATCAGTGGCGGACTAAGCCCTGCAGAGGCCCGGGTCGGCAAGTTTAAATGAGGACCCTAGTTTTAGAAGTTGATCTACTTTTACAAGATTTTTATTCACCACACATTTGAATGTAATAATCTTAAGTGCTTGTTTAAAAAAATAGATTTCACTGAGTTAACTGAGGAGTTCAGTAAAATGAAGGCACGAAAACACATACAATATGCTATAATAGCTACATAGTTATTGGTTACAATAAGGTTTATTTTTAATTCAAGTTGATCTTTTTAATTGATAACCTACACATTTTATTACTACCTATCTTTATTATCTATAATGCTAAGATAATTTATTTATTCCTCGGCCAAAATGAAAAAAAAATATTAAGTGCAATACATAATTGAAACATACTAAAATTGTAAAGCCATCAGAAAGGTAGTAATCTTGTTTATAAATTGTAAATGATCGGGTAAGTTTGTACTTACTTATTCGTATTTTATCTGTATGGGATCACATTTGTATAGGACTTACTAAAATCAAATCATCTCTTAGATAGCACAAAACGTTTTCTTAAGGCCTTTGTTGTTGGGGCCCCCTACACAGTGAGGCCCGGGGCGAGCCGCCCCTTCCGCCCCCCCGGTTAGTCCGCCACTGGCTGTCATAGTGTCAAATCTATCTTCTGTGCAGTTTATCGCGCATGATGATGCCGCCAACTTTCGAGACGCCATCTTGGTATTCAGTCTTGCCAAGAGGCGGCATAGCGGACGTTGTCTCTGTTTTAAAAATAATATTAATAACTAAAGATAAGTTCAACATATCATTGATTCAAACTTTAATGTGAAAACCATTTATTGACAGATACAACTCTGACTTTAGAATTCCATAATTATATATGCCCATATTATTCATTAATATGGACAACTGAATACAATTCCTGACAAACAGAATACTATTAAAATTTGTAGAAAATAAAATACATTAAAAAACAGTACAGATGACTAATATCATCAGACCTCGAAATCTGGTGTGACATGATAATACCTAATTGTCTTGCGTGGAATACATGACTAAGACCATAGAGAGCATGCAACCACGCAAACAGTTCAAAATTCAAGTAGGATAAGTAGTAACTAGATGACGAGAGATTTAAATGACTCCGTGAGGCCCCGTCATGGCATTAATTTAAACACGGGACAATTGTTCGTGTGAACCACGGATATTTGTTTCGAATCTAGGTGTTTGTCCGCGTGAAATTTTTTAAAACGTAAATAATTTGTAAAACGTTCTTACAACACAGGATAGTGTTACCCTAAAGTAAGGGCACAATGTTTAAAAAAACGCGAAAACATACCGCATTTGGCGCGCGGATCCGCACCGGCTGGTGCCTGCTTGGAGATGGATCGGGGTGTGGTCATCCTGAGGCGGGGGGCTACGCGGCACGGGTCGCCAGGCAGCCGCATGGGCTGGGCGCACGGCCCGCTGCCACTGTCATCGGCGGCACGCTGCAGACCCTCGAACTTGGAACCGACGCCTACCCAAACGGGAGAAATAGCAAATAAGTACATTATTGGTGCCACGCTTCTACCTTTAACCGACATCAAAAAATGTTTTTTTTTTTATGTCTGTTCGCCGATAAGTTCGTCGTTTATGAACCGATTTTGATGATTATTTTTGTTGGAAAGGAGATATCCCAACGGTGGTACCATGATAACGAAAAAAGGATCTGATGATGGTATCCCAGAGAAATTGAGGGCAATCCTAAAATGTTATAGGTATTAACAAGGTTTTTTAGTTTCCTTTTTGAAATCGTTTTTTTTTATTTTGTTGAAAATCTTTTAATTTATTGAGTTTTAAGTTTCATTTAGAGCTTAAAGTAAAATCATTGAGTATAGATAAAAAAAAAGTAGTAAAAACGCTTCATCATAAAAAAACTACACTACACATATACATACAGTATTTCTTTAAGACGTATAGTTAAAATTTCTATGAAAGTTACGAATGTTAATATGTTACGAGTATTACCAGCAGATGCTACCTGGTGAAATGCATTCGACTGCTAAATAGAAGTATTAGTAAGTACGTAACTAACCGCTCTCGCAATAGTCAACTTGATACGTTGTCTTATTCCTGTCCCGGTCGATTCGCTGCTTGAGCTCTGGTGATGCCTCGCTCTGCAGGATGCTGTACAGCATCGGATACTTTGACTGCAGCTGAAATGGAACAAAAGAACTAGAGTAATTCCTGTCACATTATAATTGTTGAATAAAAGTCATCTCTACGGATAGGCGTTATTTCTAATCAGGCTAAAACTCTCCCTACTTCTTCTTCTTCTTCTTCTTTCCTAACCGTAAAGCATTTTAACAACATCGGCACAACATCTGAATCATGTTCTTAATAGAACTGGCTAGGTTTTTCAAGGACGGCTGCCTGCCTGACTTCAGCCCTCCTTGGGAATAAACACCCAGATATGGAGCAGTTATGTGTGGGTCACACTAATACTTCTCCGGCATGGGAATCGAACCCACTAGTTGATTATCTTCACAACTGCGCAAACGATATATATCTACCTACTTATTTTTCATCTTGTTTTCTTTTTTACGAAGCTTATCCTCCTACTGTAAGATAATAAAACGTACTGTAGAGCGGTTTCACATACACAAATTGTGCATGGGCAAATTCACTAATTCCACTGTATCAATACGACAGACTCCCCTGAGTCCACTTCCCAGAGAATGTTTGAGCTGGGAGAGTACAAGAACACAATGAAATAACACAAGCAATTAACCTCAACTCACATCTGCCAAAAAGGTCTGAGACACCACCTCACCAAACATTTCCGTTGTAGAGCGTAGGAAAAACGATTCATCAGAGTATCTTAACTTTTGCGTTTCATCTAATGAGTGACATAATCTCAGAATCGTGAGCAATACAACTGCAATCCCACTGGTCTTTGAGATCTCAATGGGCTGCGGTAATCGTTTAATATCAAGTGAACCACCTGCTCTTTTCCTCAACTACTTCTCTCCCACATTTTATCTTTATTTATTCGTGAATAAAATAATAAGCTATATATTCAAAAATGCGTACCTTATCTAAAAATGCGTTGGGTTGATCATAACGTGACGTGGGAGTTTCGGGACTAGCGGCAACTCTGGCGGGATAAAGCTTTGGATCTGACAATGGTCCCATAATCTAGGGAAGAACAAATATGTTTTAAAAATTATCCACCTTGATGTGTACAGAAATAAAACTAAGATTTATTTGAAATCTTTAACATCTCTCTCGGTGTTACATTCTGTGTCTACACGAACATACAACTGAATAGACTTTCGAATCTCTTACACACTATGTATACAAGGACAATAAAAATTTTGATAAAGCCATTCAACGGCTACATCTGCACCATAATGAGTCGGTTCCACGGGTAATAAGGATACCGTACCCAAAGGGTAAAAAAGGGACCCTATTACTAAGACTCCGCCGTCTGTCTATCTTTCTGTCCATCTGTCACCAGGGTGTATCACATGAACCGTGATAGCTATTTTTAGCTGTAGCTATCTTGAAATTTTCACAGATGACGTATTTCTTACGTATTTGCCGCTGTAACAACAAATGATAAAAAACAGAATAAAAAAATATTTAAGGGGAGCATCCATTCAACAGACATGAGTTTTTTGCCGTTTTCACAGATAATGGCACGAAAACTGTCGTGCGCGAGACCGTCTCGCACTTGGCCGGTTTTCTTATAACGCACAAAAAGAGCACGCCGGTGTTCTGTCCAGATGAGTCCCCAGTATAATATGTTATACTTACTTTTGTTTTTCATCCGATGGTATAAGAATGACAATTGAAAATATTACAAAGAAAGGCAGTCGCCCTTGAAGCTTATCACATTGTCTTGGAACTGAGATTACGGGTTTGAATCCTGCACAATATATGGCAATATATCAAATCAAATCATTTATTCATCGAAATAAGAAATATAAATTTCATTTATCGATAGTCATTTTTTAAATCTACCACCGTTTCGTAATGAGGTTCCTCTAACGGAGAAGAAACAGGCGAAAGAAACTCCGTAGGTATCCTCTTTTATGTAATTTTTTTTCTCAAACAAATACATTATTATAAAGTACATATTTTTTTAGTAACAGCTTAAGAGCGATCATCTCATTCCCAGGGGTTATTATCGTTAATGTATACATTTATATTATAATAACCCTTCTTAAAAGGTTTTCTTTAATAAATTTCTTAAACCTATTAATATCTATGATACGTAGCGATGATTCTGGTGTTTTTCTATATACATCTGGGATTTAGACATCTATTATAAGTATTATGTATTTATTAACAAAATAAAATTATGTTTAAGTATTTTTATCGTGGCACACTGTGGCTCCCCCACACAGTTCAGCAGTGGACACAAACAGGCTAAAATTATGATGATGTTTATCTTGTATCTTATCTACCCCTAGTATAATCTTTGTTTACTCTAGACAAAGTTATTTAAAGTCATGTTCGGAAATATATATTATTTAATACTATAATTGAGTTGCTCAGGAGATAGATATCGACAATAGGCTTACCACCTGTCAAGTTAAGGACTGGACTTAGGTAAAAGGTTAAGTTTATAACAGTTGCTATGTCTATACTTTTAGGACTCCCTCTGCCTAACCTCTGTCCTACTCCAACCGGCGTCTTTTCCCGATGGCATCTGTGGCATCTCGCCTCCGGAATATTGCGGGCATCTGCAGTCGGGGGGGCGCGTGTGCTGCATGCATGCCTGGTAGAACGCCAACTCTTGTCCGGAGAGCTTTGGTATTCTAAAAAAAACGCTTTCATTTCGTTCTACGCTTTCTTTATTTGAGAAGGTAGCAAACGAGCTGGTGGTTCACCTAACGTTAAGTGATAGCAGCCGCCCGTGACATTTCCAACGCCCGTAGGGTTGCCGACGCGTTGCCACCTTTAATAAAGTGGGCCCAGGCTGCCTTACTCACCGAGACGAAACGCAAAAATATCCACTTCACGTCAGTCTTCTCTGAGTTCGTGGTACTTACCTGCCCATTCGTGCAACAGAGAAGACTGTTGCGTAGCCCTACCACAGTAAATTCTGTAGCGTTCTGTAGCGTAGAGGGGGGTTGAATAAACTTTTTGAAATTGCCTTCCAAATACAGATTCAAAATGGATAAACTAATGTTCACACTCGTTGTCAATAAGAATATGGAATTGGAGTTCATTTGTGGAGTTAAATTTTTTATCGACAATTATTTAGCTAACGTTATTTCGGTTCATGCCCTTAAAATATTTAAACGAAACAATTATTCTAAATCAAAGAATTCCTAAAGCCTCTTTATTGTTTTTAGTTTTTAGGGTTCCGTACCCAAAGGGTAAAACGGGACACTATTACTAAGACTTTGTGGTCTGTCCGTCTGTCACCAGGCTGTATCTCATGAACCGTGATAGTTAAGATAGTTGAAATTTTCATAGATGATGCATTCCTGTTGCCGCTATAATGACAAATACTAAAAAACAGAATAAAAAAATATTTAAGTTGGGCTCCCAAAAAACAGAAATGATTTTTTTCCATTTTATAGATTATTGTTAATACCAACGCCCTTAATACCTTCTGTATGAAGCAGGCCTTTGCCCAGCTGTGGGACATATAAAGTCTGTTACTTTCCTTTTACAACTTACTCAGCCACACCACCAGTTTTCGTCGAGCCTGGAGCTTTCGGCAAATTGGGCCATAGATAGTCCTTCCTGTACGTCGTGAGATAGTGGTCCATGGTTCCTTTTTGTGCTCATTGATTTTACATTACGGTAATTTAATTTTAAATGGATTGCTGTATTTATTTAAGAAACCGAATGTATGATAGGCGTCATTTGAATGTTGTTACGGATTTGACAGTGCATTGACGCATAGATTGATTATGTAAAATGTAAACTTATTGGTTAGTCAATTGTATAAAATTCAAAAATATTCTTCCGACCTCGTCTTAATCCAAAAGATTAGGAAATTAGATTAATACTAGGAACGCTACCGTCTAAGAACGCTGGTTTGAGTTCCTGTGCCTTGACGATTCAATTAGTTAGTTATTTTACGTAAGGTCAAAACTAGCCATCTTCTATTTTGTATTCGGTATCAAGTGATGGACATATCCCCCGCTACGACAGCTCATTGGTATGGTGAATGTTACAGTGAAGAATAAAACAATTGAGGATCAACGATCTACCAGCCGTGTAACAGGATATACACACACCACATTAAATCCCCTACGAAGTGATCACTTACCACCACTTACATTCAGTACACCAAGGGCCATGGAAAAAAAGGTAATGTCTTGCATTAGCCGACGTGTCGAGCGATTTATGACCTCCGTCGAAATTAAACGACTTGGCTATCACATAACTGATTATATCACCCGTTAAGGTTTTTTACACATCACATACTAGTAAAAAACTGTCAAACGAGCTAGCGGTTCACCTGGTGTTAAGTTGTAACCGTCGCCCAAGGATATTGGCAACACCTATAGGATTGCAGATGCGTTGCCACCTTTTAATTAATTGGGCCCCGGGTACCTAACTCACCAGGCGAAACGCAGTGTAACACTTCTACTTCACACAGGTATTATGTGAGGTCATATTACTTACCCGGATCGACCTGCCCATTCGTGCAACTGCCAACACTGTTTGCGTGGCCCTACCAGAGTCAAAAGTAGTCTAGCTTTGAATCTAGATGGAGAATGAAAATACTCCCGCAAGCGTAAGTTTTTTGACGAAGAAGGCGACAAACGAGCAGTATCATCGACGTACAACACTCATGACTGCAGTTGCATTGTAAAGCTTTTTGATGTACTAGTGTAGAGTTGGTAACGGCTACCTCACTCACCAAAAAAAATATATAAAACTACTAATAACCCTGACGTAACTCTATCTAAAGGCAACGCTACTTTCGTGAGGAAACCGACCACGCATGCAACAACAGGAACTTCTTTGACGACAAAACCACAGTAAAATGTTCTTGTTGATTCACGATAAATAATATCGCTTAAAACACATTCAAATAAAACTAACAAATATAACATGTCCGTATATTAAACAAAACAAAATCATATAATTTACATCGAAAATGTGAACATCAAAGCAACAACAAGACATCAAATGTAGTAAGTGTAGTAGTGGGGCGTGCGCCATCTGCCGTATTTGGGCTCTTCGCGGGGAGGTCCGAATGGATTCCTCTCCAGCACCACCTTGGCCATGAGCCCGTGGCCCAGGTTGTAGCTAGTGTCGCCGGTGGTCACTCGCAGAATTCGCCTCAACTCCTCTGCATTGGACGATCATTAGTCAACCAGCCGACCCAAACGTTAAGCGTTATATGAGGTCCCATTTGGGAAGCTGATTATCATTTCATGAGAGTCATGAGATAATTTTATAGGATTATTGTTTCAATTATCGATCTGCCTATGTTTTGCTAGCTGCTATTATTTAATAAGCTATATTTCACTTGATCTGCCTTGAAATGATTCGTGGGTTTGAGCATAAGAACATAATGTATATCTGACTTAAAGAATTAATTCATATCTAGGTGTATTTTCATGCCCACATTCGGTTTAGTCGTTTTTATGAAATAGAGTAAAGTAATATTTATATTAAAGTAATATACGAAATAAATTTGAAAGTGGTTGATACAGAGAGCCCGATTTAGGTAAACTATTTCCGTTCATAAAACCTAACTACTGTAGGGCTGTTTGAGATCTAACTACTTATGGGAAATGGGGTAGATATATTGATTTTTGGTGGCAAACGGACAAGAAACCTGATGATCATCTCACTCATCCAGCGAAGTGCTAACGTAATAACAATTATACTGCACCGCCATCTCTGTGTGACAGCCATGGGCAAGCCGTTTTATCCAGCATTAGCTAAAGCAACGTGCCTATCTCTTACCAAAAAAGTAAAACAAAATAACAGTCTATACTGTACTATAGTTGTCCCACTATTGGACAAAGGCCTCTTTTGTACAGGGGATATTAGGGCATTTACCAAACACGCTATACCCCGCTGTGGATTGGCGGTTCACATATCTTTAAAATTTTTATTTTGCTATAATTTCGAAAATATTCAAGTTTCCTCAGCGCTTAAAATTAATAATTTCTTGGTACCAACAGCGGCATTTGAACTCAGGTTGCTCGAAAATATTGAAGTAAAAGCGTGCGCCTGAACACTGAGCTATCACGGCACCAGCTACACGGCGCTACCGTACCAAGCTAGCTGTGAATCGAAACTTGGACAAACTGCGTGGAATATCAGAGGTGCGTTAAACAACCCAAACGGCAATTACTTTGCAGCGAATCATCGAACTTCGGTCTCATGGACATCTTGGAGGGGTGTTCAGCGAACTTCTCGAGCCCCGGAGGCCGGTACGAGTTGCGCTGGCTGGTGTCCGGGATTTCCACGTCGTCGGGCAGCCTCAGGGTCTGGAGCGCGCGCGCCCTCCGTGCCAGGTTCACCGACATGAACGGCAGCTCTGTCGCGGACATTCCCAAATACAATGGGCTCGGTTGTATAAACTAGTGGTCGAAATTCGACCATTATTAATTATACATGGTAGTGTGTGTAATGTTTTCTTTATTGATTTAAATTATTTTTTATGCATGATTGAAAAAAAAATATTAGCATTGTGCACTACTCTATATATACAGCGTGTCGTACAACCGCGACAATAAATGAACACACGTCTAACGCTACTTGCCAATCATCAGAAAAATTTAAACGTTAAAAAATCCATTACTAAAAAAAATATTTTTCAAACAAAGTAATTAAATAAAAAAGAAACAAAATTTGTAACATCTACAACTGACAGATTCATACATTCAGACAATATTTCATTCGTTGCCACAGCGTCGCATGACAAATCTCTCCTTCTATCAGTATGTTTTATCTTTTTTAAATTCATTCAACCCATTCATATGCATTGTGACCTTTACAAATGAACTTCACTTTATGGTTTTATACGTGTTCTAAAATTGTTTGTTTGGAAAATTTAATAACTCGGTAAATATTGATGTTTAAATGATGTAAATGTTTAATACAATTTTAAAAAGTTATATTATATATGTCTGTTCATTTATTGTCGCGGTTGTAACGACACGTTGTATAAGAGATTTCCACCGATAATTGACTCATCACGATATCTCTAGAACCATAAGGCGTAGAGACTTTAAATTTGGTAGGAATATTCCTTTCACCGAGTCCTCTCAGCTAAGATTTAAGAAATTCCACAAAACAACGTTTGCCGGATCAACTTTTATTTCATACTACTCCGTCCGCGATGGTTTGGATGAAATTTTTATTTGATAATTAGTGCTAACCTTGCCATCACCCTTGCAAATGATGATGTGCAGATTCTATGGTAACTGGTGCACAAGAACTAATTATTTACATATTAGAACTTTCCACGCAATGCGAGCATAAAAGCTACAAATATATAATAAGATGACTTCAAATTCAAAAGCATCAAACATAACAACCTCTTGAACAATACTTGACTAAATATTCCGTCCGTTTCAAATCCTGCGCGTCGTGTTCTATCGGTACAGGATCCAACTCTCCGGACATGTGCTTCTTGGCCAACTCCGGATGGTCTTCTGCAAACTTAATTTGTTAACAAGATTAATATACAACTCATTGGACAACCTTTGCAGCAAATAAATTGGTAAACCTACAATAAAGCACAAACATCATTGCTGGAAACGATTTCTATACAAAAAAAAAATACTATAGATAAATTGGCAACTTTAACAGCCCTCTCCGCTATTTTCTCTCTCTTTTGCCTCGCTGACATATATAGATATATATAGCTGACATAATAATACATTGAATACATGTCAATGCTTAGGGCAGTTGTTAAACAATCTGTAAGGTTTGCGTCACTTTAGTCGCATTCAACTGCACAAATAACCTTCACTCGTGCATAAATAACTATCTATAAAGTATATCAAAATAAATTAAAAATCTATAAATTGTATAACAACGTTGCTCGCAAGTGTACACCTAAAAGGAGTTGGAGCAAGACTGAAAGAGATTTAGGCAGCGACGCGAACGAGAGCACAATGGTCTCTTGTTTCGGCTCTGCATGCAGTCCCTTCGCTAACTTGTAAACCTTTGTACTTGGACAGGGTAAAATTAATTTTGCATAATGGCCAGTTTCAATATTCTATCTACAGATACTCGTAGATTTGGTTACTAGCGATAGGTATTTGACATTAGCTACAACGTTGGCAGGGCCACGCAGCAGCCCCGGCTGTTGCACGAATGGGCAGGCTCGTCCGGGTAAGTACCACGACCTCACAGAAGACCGGCGTAAAGTGGAAGTATATTACTCTCGCGTTTCGTATGGTGAGTGAGGTAGCCAGAGCCCAATTTTCAAAAGTTTGTCAACGCATCTGGAACCCTCGGGTGTACCAGATGTCCATGGGCACTATGTATATGGGTATTCACTTAACATCAGGTGAACCGTCTGCTCGCTTGGCAACTTTTCACATTAAAAAAAATATTCATGTCAAAATTCTATCTCCAGTAACCAAATCTATCTGTAGATTGAATATTGAAACCGGCCGTTAGACAGGGTAAGACAGGGTGAGTTTTGCCAGAGTTATACAGAATGTATATTTACGTCAATACAAGTAAATATTTTTATTAACAAAAAAGAAAACCGACTTCAAATATCTATAGTCATTTTATAATTGATTTTCAGGAGTTTTCTACGTATCTAATATGGGACCACATGGCAAGCTTTCAAATAAAAAAAGAGTCCTGAATACGTGGTTTCTTCCCACAATGGCGACAATCATTTCGTATTTTTTCTACAAATTAAAAAAAAAGAATCATCAAAATCTGACTGTTCACTCTGTCGGAAGTTCTGAGGTAACAAACATAAAAAAAAATATAAAAAAAAAATAAATAAATTGAGGGCCTCCTCCGTCTTTGAATTCGGTTGAAAATACTTCATTCGCTTCACAGAACTGCGATAGTTGCGACTAACCCGGGTCACAGCATTCTTGTAGTACTCATGGTCTATCGGGCACAGCACGTCTGGACTCTTGCGCGGCTGGTCTCTGGGCTTGAGCGCGTCCCGACTTACGCCGACTATAAGGCAATCGTCGTCAATGGCCTTTCGACGAGGACTCTTTCTGCGGACAGAGTTTTCCAGTCAGATTACTGACACAGCATAATTATTTCACAATAATTTCTTTCTTAGTTTATTTTCACTTGGTACTTGATGATTAAAAGGAAATTTTGATTAAAAGTTCTGATTGTAACTAATCTTGTACGATATATGTATGTAATTCAATGCTTTACAAAAGACGGGAGAACGTACAGTGTATAGAGGTTATTAGAGAATAATCACCATATCTTCGAAATATGTTTTTTTTTATTTCTTAGACAGGCACGTTTCGCTACGTTTGACGTTTTCCTGCGCCGCGATTTACATGGCAATTTTGATACATCCAGGTTAAATAATGTGTGAAAGTGGAACATTACCTAACGTATCGAAACGTTTTTATAAAATAACTGTATCAGATAAACGGTTAAGTTAATTACACGTTAAACATTTTTTAAACATTATACTAAAAATGTCAAATGGCTTTTCAAATGTTATTTGAGTTGCCAAAAGGATTGTTAAACTCTCCGAATTAATCAGAATGACCTTCTTAATGATCACAATGATCAATTCAAATAGATTATCCTTTTGGCAACTCAAATAACCTTTGAAAAGCCATTTGACAGCTGGTTAGTTGACTTCCACGATGATCAGTGTTTCAGAAACCGAGCGTTAGAATATTAGCTTGTAGTTACTTAGATTCAATGGACATTGGCTTGATGACGTGCATAAGCACCTACGCCATTAAATCATTTATAAGCTTTTCTTACGTACCACATTTCTGAAGCATTTAAAAAGCTCCTACTCCAATGATCCTCACAGCACCTTCTGCTGACTGACCAACGAACAAAGAACTGCCAAGATCTAACATTGCAACTCGATAGAGTTTTGATACCTTTTCGTTTCATCCGGTGAAGGAGGTTAATAAAAAATGGGCAACGCACCTACTCTGGTGTTTGGAATATCCTCATCAGCGAGGATGTGAGCGACGGTAATCACCTACCATCAGGTAAACCACAGTCTCGACTGCCACTTCGTTTTTAAAAAACAAACATTAAAATACCTACGGCTTATCTAATTTCACGAAATCATTCATATAAACCGACTTAAAATCGATTTCTCCGCTAAATACCGACATGCTTGTAAACAAATATAAATACTGTAATAAATAAGTCCACCCACTGACACTGACAATTTTCAATCACATTTTTTGACAGAATTTGAAATGTCAAACTATGGAGAGATAAGGACTAAGTAGTATCTCATTTGTGATTTGAAATAAAATACATTTAGTTTTCGTCGGTATGGCAATCGACCATTTAGCTGGTTAAAACAAATTATGGGCGCCAATCGGGAAGACTTCGATTACCGCATCGGCGAAAAACATTTTTGTCCATTTTTAAGGTTCCGTTCCAAAATGGTAAAACGGGACCCTATTACTTCGCTGTCTCTGTCGAACGCGAGGTGTTTGCTAGGCAACAGGTTCTTGGAGGTACTTATCAATTAGTTTATTGAAGATAATAGTCATTGATAATAGATAATAGTTTCCTATATTACAAAGTACTCTGTGATAATAGTACGGGTTCGACTCTCACTTGGCCTATTTTTTTTTTTGAGTGCGGTGTATGCGCCAACTTTGCCAAGGGAATTCAATTACTATTCATTCGTTTAGTTGTCTATCAGCGCTTTTTAGAAGAATGTGGACAAATTAATGTTTTTAAGATACAATACGGCGATCCGCATATACCACGGGGCGCCGATTACACGACCACACATGCGAATAGTAAAAATAAATACGTTTTGATCGGCGAGCGAAGTCACTGGGTGCGCCTTCCAAAGTCGTCAACGTATTTTTTTAAATGTCATGTCTTATTTCTATTGGAACATCTATGGGTCACACAACTAGTTTTTCGTGTGGGAATCGAACCGACTACACCCAGCGCCGAAGCCAATACCTTGGCGACAACACCACGGAGTCGTCAACGTGCTTAGTGCTACCTCCGTGGGCGAGGTAAATCATGAAATTAATCATCTCGTTTGCCATCATTTCCCACAAAAAATATTTCGGGAGCTAAACAAACGAACCAGTTAGAATGAAAATCATATTTAAATAATACAAATTAAATAATTTTATTTCATATTACATCAACTATACATATCAATATAACAAAATAACATTCTTTCTTAATTATGCAATAATCGTGACAAAATAAGCAATAATAAACACGAAATTAGAGATATTTATGAATCTAATAACATGTAACATGCAGTATACAAATGGAGGCACAGCCTTTACTTACGCAGAAGTTAGTTCGGACACAAACAAGCGCATCAACAAATAAAAATAATGTGACATTCAATCTGTATAATGTCAATATTTAATTTACATAATTTATGTGTCTATTACTTTTTAAAATTTTATTTTTCCAATGCCACAAATACAAAAATGTTGAACACTCGAAGTTAGCAGATACAAATTTAAGTTAAAACATTTTTATCAAATTACAACAAGGACTTAAATTGAAAGCTCGGTGGCTAGTATATTGCTTAAGAAACCATTCTCCTTTCACGATTACATCCTGACCAGAAAATAAAAAAGAACATGTTTTTGGTGTGCGAAAGCATTTAAACGTTAGTTCCATTGGCTTTCAATCATTAGGGTTTTTTATTATTTTCCAGTCAGTCTATGAACATAATATGGCATTACATAAAACAAAACTTACAACACTTACCTCTTCACCGGTTGAATACTTTTTAAGCGTCTACAAAACCTGATTTTTATCAGTAAAAAAATGAACATATATTTTTGGAGATTAATTGATTAAATTTAACTGGGAAGAAACCAGACGACTTTTACTAAAGTTTTACACAATATAATGCAGACCTTGTAGAAATCATGAACGCTATATAATTTATTTACAATATTATAAACTTTCAATCAGTCGCATTATAAATATATATAAAGAGATATATACTATACTAAGATCTCTTTCAAATAGTCATTCATGTAAGGTGGTAGAGATTGAGTTTGGCTTTGAAAGATACACAGAAGTGTATCTAGCCAGGTGATATTAACTAATCCTCGCCTCAAGTCATACCAAAATAAGATGTGTTTCTATAAAAAGTGTAATGTTTTATATGTACCAATATGTACCAATTATTAACAAAGAATAATTAGACATGCGCACTACAGTAATAGCGATCAGTCAATCCTTCTTAAAAATATTGGTATCATTTATCAACAGTATTCCCTGTTTATACCCTCCATATAAGCCGTGATTATATTTTAAAAAACTGAATTAAGTCAACAGCACAATCATTTTATTTAATTCGAAGCCAGCGCCATCTCGAATGACACTGAATCATACTGTTGACTAAAAGAATAAGTTTTGTTTCAAAATACTGGTACGTTGACAAAAAATTATATCACAGTAAACAGTAGGTACACAGACTGAACAATTAATTATTAGAAAACTTTTTGCTGTCATATTTAAATTCTGATTTACAGTTCTGTTGTAACTCCATAAATCCACTTAAACAATATAAATGTTTCATTACAAGAAAAACAAATGATTTTTATTGTATTTCTAGGTGCAAAATAATGCAATGAGATTCTATTAGACGCCGATTTTAGTTAATTTAATTGCATGTTATAAATTTTAAAGTGAACAAATATTTGACCACAACTTCTAGTGGGTCCTTGTTTAAACATAGCTAATTTAAAGTTGTCTATGGATATTAGCAATTCAGATTGATTCATTCAGGAAACATTTCGGACATTTATCTGAATCACTTCTCAATAAAAAAATACATAATTAAGTCTTTTTGTCAACAACAAAGGGTTTAAACAAAATATTGGTCATGAAATTTACCACTAAGGATTGAAACCATATCCTGACACTCACAGAGGTTTTCAGTAAGAAAACATACTGGAGTTTTTCAATAACACAGAGCAAGTATTATGTGATCAATCTAATATTATTTCAAACATTGAATTATATGTATATATTTATGTGTGAAACATTATGTGGCAATATGCAAGTTATTACATAGAACTGAGATTATATAATAACATTATTTGATTATGAAATATAATATAATTCAGCAATAATAAAATAAAATATATTATTTGTTCCTCTCTTGTAATTAGACAATGAGGCGAGAGAATAGTTTTTTTTTACTTAGTTTATCTTTGCATACTTAAGCAAATGCTATAAAAGCTTAGAGCAAATAACTTCAATATTCTTTTCATTGTTATTACACTGCTTCTAAAGTGTAAAATTAAATTATACAAAGACTGTCTTCAAAGCTCAACGAAAACATTACTCAACCATTACATTGTATTGAAAGGAAAGGTCAATCCTCCTAAAAACCAATGTTACCAAACAGTACATATGGGATACATGTTAATGAAACCTTACACGCAAACGGGATTACACTGGATATGGAAGGGGAGGGTATACCGTTCCCTGCCCCCAATGAGTCCGTGCCACCAGCACACACAGCTGTGTTGTTACCACACCGTCAGTGGTAGCTGTCGTTGTCCGACATGGAGGCGGAGCTCCTCTGCTATGGCACCCGGAACGGCACCACCAGGTCCTCGTGGTGCTTCACCCTGAGCTCGGAGATGGCTGCTGCAGCCTTTTTGACGGCATTCGTTATCTGCAAAGTATTTATGCAAATGTTGATTGATGGAAATTCATTCGGTGTTAATATTCTTTCTCGTGTAATCTCGCGACTAAGTCTGCGTTAGAATAGGCTGACGGCGTGACATTCAGACAGAAAGACAGATATACATTCAAATATGTATATAGATTCTAGCCTATGTCTTATTCTGATGTATAAGCTATATTATTGTAGAGTTTCATTAAAATCCATTCAATAGTATTTGCGTGAAAGAGTAACAAACATCCATCCATACATACAAACTTTCGCCTTTATAATATTAGTAAGGACTAGCTTTTCGACCGCGGCTTCGCTGGCGTTGAAGCCCTTAAATAAGTACCTTTCTTTAAAAAAAAAAATCCAATTAAAAATAGCCTATGTCCTTTCTCAAGCTCTAGGCTATCTGTGTACAAAATTTCATTTAAATCGGTTCAGTAGTTTTGGCGTGAAAGCGAGACAGACAGATAAAGTTACTTTCGCATTTATAATATTAGTATGGAAGTAAGGATATTTATCAAAATAAATTATTTATAAATTATATAATAATGATATTCCTCAGTAAACATATGATTGTAAGAAATTTTTCAATTTAAAAGTAACTAGGACAAAAATATGTCAATTGCCGTCACGATTCAACCCAGATGTGGAACGATTAGGGAATCACTATGGGACACACAGCTACTCATGTAAATGAATCCACGACAGCGAAAAGCTTAGCAACTGCAAAAGGTCATACAAAATAATATGGAATGCATCACTAAATTAATTTTCATAATAATTACAGAATCAATTATTAAAGTTATTAAAAATTATATAACATATGAAAATAATTATTGTAATAACTACATTATCATTAATAAGTATATTGATTAATGATTAATTTACATATTTCTCCTACATGGAACCTACATTCAATACATTTGAGCAACCTGAGTTCAAATCCCAAATTAAGTTGTCACGCTCGATCACATGCTCAGCGATAAAGGAGAAATGTATTGTGACCGGTGTGAAGTGTGAGGTCTTCACATCAAATATGGAGGTCCCCACAGCGCATTGGTATGCAGGCCTAGCATAGAGCATATACATTGAATTATATTACTAAGGTAAGAGGCAATGAGATTGAGGGCGATGTCACGAATGCCATAATAATCTAGCTTTTGAAGGAGGGTTTCCCACAGTCGAAAGCCTTTGAAAGGTATGCAGGCCTAATGACCCTCGTTGTAAATATGGATTGCGAACCCGAGTTCTGTTCCCGATCTGCCTTTAGGCACCAATGAGGCTGCTATTTGTAATTTGGAAAGGGTGCTTAATCATTCACGAGCACTATGACCGGCGGCTAATTTCAGGAAGGAAAACGTCGGGAGGAAAATTATAGCTTATATGAGCATATTTACGAAATATTAAAAAAAATATTTCGAAGATATTTGAAGTCCGCCAATCTGCAGTGGGGCCGCGTGGTGGTCTACACCGCGATATCCTCTGTACAGAGGAGGCCTTTGCCCGGTAGTGGCACATGTATAGGCTTTTTTTTATGTGAAAAGTTGCCAAACGAGCAGGTGGTTCACCTGATGTTAAGCGAATACCACCGCCCGTGGACGCCCTCACTCACCAGACGAAACCCGAAAGCATTATACTTCCACTTCACGCCGGTCTTCTGTGAGGTCGTGGTCACCCGGACGGGCCTGCCCGTTCGTGCGACAGCCGAGGCTGCTGCGTGGCCCTACCACGGTTGATGCCGATGCTTTTATGCTTTTTCCACTTACCAGCTCGCGGTCTGCGCCGGTGGGGGGCGGGGCGGAGAGGGCGGCGCCCCTCGCCGCCGGCGGCAGGTCGGCGAGCAGCCGGGGCGCGGCGGGCGGCGGCGGCTGCGCGGCGGCCGCCCGGGCGGTATACGCACGCACCCGCTCGTTATAAGCGCTCGCCTCCAGGGCGTACGGCCCCAACGCGCCCACGTCTATCACGTTGCTGCGGCAAAAGTAGCGGTTGCGAAGTGGCCGCTGAGAGCCGTGACAGCTCAGTGTCCGGGCGCTCGCCTTTTATTCAATATACTCGAGCAACATGAGTTCGATCCCCGGTGCCGGCGCCAGTTAAGTTTTTAACTTTAAGTGCCGACTTATAACGTGCTCCGCGGTGAAGGAGAAAAGACCGTGAGGAAACGAAGATATGTGAAGGCCGCCAATCCGCAGTGGGGCGTGGTGGACTATACCCTGATACTCTCTGTATAGAGGAGGCTTTTGCCCAGCAGTGAGACTTGTATAGGCTGTTGCTTTACACTATTGCCAAACTTAGTATTCCGGATTCGATCCCAGATGTTTTAACCCAATGATATACAAGTAAATGTACAAATACGCTCTAGATATGATGATAATCCGCCGCCGATGAAAATCTCAACGTTAATGCTATTGTTTTTTCCATCTATTGTTGCGTCCTTTACGGCACACAACTAACTACGAACTAAATAATTGAAAAGCTAAACTCCGATCGACGCTACAGTGCGAGTCGGGATGCGACTGCAAACTCGACCTGAGATCTGATAGGTCCGAAACTATTCAGCGCGTACACCGATCAGACGCGAATTTAGCCGTTTAATTATATAGTTAGTAATGGTAGTTACGAAAGTTTTAATAATTTAATTGTAATTCTTTCTTAAATCAGAATTTGTAGAAAAAGTATGAAACGATTGTCGCCGCCGTGAGAATCGAGAGTTCGGCATTCGCGGCCTGACGCTTTAGCCACTAAGCTAAACGGCTCATTACCACACAGACGAAAATCTTAACGTATTTTATCTACATTGTTTTTTTAGCATTTGAAGCAATGCGTGACGCGTCTATTGTTACATCCTTAATTTTATTGTAGTTCTTTCTTCTAAAGTTCCTAAATTCCTAAGTTGGCATCGTTGTAAACGGGGCGGCGTGACTCACGTGGCGGTTTCGTGGAGTATCCTGTTGAGGGCGCTCTGTTCGTCCGGCTTCCTAGGGGGCGTGGAGGTGCACGCCGTTGGCGACGGCGTCTCCTGCTGCTGCTCCGCCACTTCGAGGAGGTGTGTTCGTTCGTTCACAATGTTCTCCTGGAACGTGACGAGAGACAAGTCGATTTTTTTTATTAAGGATAAACAAAACCGACTTTAAATATCTCGCTCTGTATTCATGTTATAATTGATTTTGATCTCTGGAGCCCAAGATCTAATGCCAATATTAATATGGGACCACATGGGAAGCACCAGCTTTCAATATAAAAAGAGAATCATCAAAATCGGTTCGCTCAGACGAAAGTTATTATTATAAAAAAACATTTTTTGAAGTTGATTGAAAACATCAATATTAATCCATGAGACGTGATAGCCGTCGGTGTCCGGGCGCTCGCCTTTAATTTAACTCACTCGATCAACCTGTGTTCGATCCCGACGGGATTGTTAATTTTACGTGCTGAATTATCACGTGCTCAGCGGCGAGGAATCGTGGAGACACATGCATATTTTCAAAATAATAACACTAAATATATTTCTCAATATTAAATATTTTTCATTGAATGGGTACTAAGTGTTGTTTGTATCTCAAATTTACTATGAATGAGCAGTAGTTCTCAAAATTAATTTATTAGTCTGTATAGGTACAGCGCCATCTAACGGAAAGGGCTGAACTTACGAAACTATGTCTACCGGGTGCACGATATAATGACGCATACTCGAGCATTCAATAAACAGAACAAATTAATCATCAGAGAACAAATAACATGTATATTTATAGATACATAAATTTCATTCAAAAAATGTGAATGCATTTGTTTCAGTACTCACACCTTAGTCCTATGGCGTGATCATATAATTGAAAATGATTAATTTATATTTCTAATCAAACAGGTTTTCTCTTTGCAAACCATCCAGTAATTAGTTAGTGATAAATGGTGTGAATATATGATATTGAAATTTTTACACATAGAAAATCCAGAATGGCTAAGTCGATTTAGTGCAGTGGGGACTGCTGGGGAGTGGGTGTATTAGACCCAGACCTTTATAAGAGTAAATATTGTAAGGTCATTAAGGACAAGATATCTAATCCTATTTATTCAAATTAAATTCCATGGACAGCACACTGGTACAAGATGCAAAACAGGTGTGACACATTAAAATTCTTGAATATATAGTAACTAATATTCCAATACAAATAATTTTTCCATAGTCAATAATAAAAGTGTTGTTTCAATTATGCACTTCCTAAAGTGATGCTTGACTTTAATTATTGCATTTGTACATACTCATTTGTTTTCCTACAATCGCTTTGTTCATATGTGCAGAATGAATCATACCCATCTTGTTTATAAAACTTTGATATATAAAAACCATTTTCAACTTTATTGTATCAATTATTATAAAACCATTTTGACTGATAATTGAATCTCACCAGCTTTGATTTAGGGGTTGAAAATTCTGATACAGATTAGATTATTAATGGTAATAACAAAGTTTTTATCTTAATATAGTCACTAATAACTAGTCAACCAAAAGGAATGTTTAAAGGTCATTTGTAATTATTAATTCAAGGTTCAATGCCAGTGAGTATATGTCAAATGATTAACATCTTCTTTTATGATTTTAAATATTTATACTATTAAAAATAGTATCTTGTATGGAGATTTAAGTATCCAAAAGGCACTGTATTGTCAATATATGAATTAATGGAATAAACTGTGCTATACCTGTATTTATGATTAAAGAATTAAAATTAATATAATAAGATTTCAATACCTTCCTACACAACCAAACCAAAAATGTACATTTAAGCACACCTGTTGAATTATAATTACTATATAATATATTTAATGAGTAAATTATACAATTTCCAATTAATAATATGATACAGTAACCTAGATATTATTAATATTTATTTCCAGGTTCATTACAATACAATTAAATTCGATAGTGTGGCAGTCAACTGGGAATTGCTGATAACAATATCTATAAAATACCTAAACATTTGACAGTTTCACGGATGTGAAGTAAAATGTCTTATGCACTAGGAACACGTTAACTAATAGTTCACGACATATATATAACGATTTTGATGCAATAAGAGTTATGGTAACAAATAATAATTTAAAATTATTAAATAGCTGAACAATGAAATACCTCCGGATCGGTTTCCTTATGACAAATACTGTAACAGCAACCCATGACGGCGGTCTTTAGTGAGCCGAAGCATGAATGCAGCAAAGTTTCCTCCCCGTCAGACTGCATAAATGTTGGTTAAACTTTTTGTCGATATAAATAGAAAAGTCGGTAATACACCGTGAGCAATTTTCTCGTTTTGTGCACTACTTCACGGCTGTTAAAAGTAGCGATGTCCGATGACAAGAGATGACATTTACATTACATTACACTTTGACGTTAGAAGTAAACCAAGCACAGATCCGTAATACAAAAATATTATTTTTTGTTTTGTTGCGACAATTACACTTATTATTAAACTGAAACTGAAATGTCTTATATAATTAACATATTATTTATTATTATATTTTACATATTATTTTGAGGTATTCATAACAAAGATAAAGAAAACACCGATTACAGAATGTTGTTGTTTATTTTAAGTCTGTTAAACTTAAATCATAACTGAAAACACGTCAACATTGAAAGATTGAAACATTTTAACAACCAATAGCAGTACTCCTTAATTATCTATTATACATTGATTTTCGCGTTGTTTATTTCAAGTAAGATGATAAGGTATCGAGGTAAGAAGAAAGTATTGGACAAGGTTAAAGAATTTGACGCTTTTCCCAAAGTTCCCGAGGAATATGTAGACAGTACACCGGTAGGCGGAACATTGTCCATTATCACATTTTTCATTATTTTATGGCTAGTTTATAGCGAGGTGACGTATTATTTATATAGTAATCTAGTGTTCAAATTTGTGCCAGACACAGACATGGATGAAAAGTTGCAAATTAATATTGACATTACAGTAGCAATGCCATGTTCAAACTTAGGCGCGGATATCTTAGACTCCACGTCACAAAGTGTGTTTGGTTTCGGTGAACTGCAGGAAGAAGATACGTTGTTTGAATTAGGGCAGGAACAACAGGATGCCTTTGACGCTGTTAAGTATCTAAACTCATATTTACGCGAGGAATATCATTCAATATGGCAATTACTCTGGAAGAAAGGTCATGGATCCGTTAGAGCGACGATACCAGCACGTAAAACGAAACCCAACAGACGGCCCGATGCCTGTAGACTTCATGGCGTTCTTACATTGAATAAAGTGGCGGGTAATTTTCACATTACCGCTGGCAAAAGCCTACATTTACCTAGGGGACACATCCATTTGAACATGTTGTTTGATGACACCGCACAGAATTTTAGCCACAGAATACATAGACTAAGTTTTGGAAGCCCCGCTAATGGAATAATATACCCATTAGAAGGTGATGAAAAAATTACTAGTGATGAAAATATGCTATACAACTATTTTATTGAAGTTGTGCCTACAGATGTTGACACAACATTTGAGACTATAAGGACATTTCAGTACTCTGTTAAGGAGTTAGAGAGGCCTGTCAGCCACTCCAAAGGGTCGCATGGCATACCTGGGATATTTTTTAAATATGACATGGCCGCATTAAAAATAAAAGTCTGTCAAGAGCGGGATAACCCAGTGCAGTTCACTTTGCGTCTTTTTGCTACCATTGGTGGGATTTATATCATAGTTAGTTTCCTGAACACAATTGTTTTAACATTGAGGGGCATTCTTTTAAAGAAAGTTGTTCCTGATCTTTTGATGCACCGACATTTTGAGAAATCAAAGGTTGAAACAAATCCCCTATTAAACACACCAGATCTTAATGTTCCTGTCGATTTAGTGAAACAATGATATGGCTTTAGCATTAAGATGTATTGATAAGTTAAATTTGTACATATAGGTTATTACTTTGAAATTTATATTGTCTTTATTTTTATATTTGTACTACAGTACATCATTAGCAGATGAAATATTTATAATACATTTTGGTGGTAAATTTCTCATAGCTAAAATTTAACTTAAGCTAGATTGGGTCATTTTTTTGTAGGAAAAAACCGTTATTGCCAGTCACTTTAGTAATCAGTCTATCAAATTTCAATATTTTATCTGTAGATTTGGTTACTAGCGATAGGTATTTGACTTAAATAGTTTCATATAGCTTCATATTACTAAAGTTAAACTTGTATCTCCAGTAAACAAACCTATAAATGTATATACTATCAAATAAAATTAAATAATAAACTGTTGTAATTTAATTTTTTTATGTGATCGGCAACAACCCTAAGTTATTAAGAAAAGTTTAAATTTGTAAATTTACATTGTGAAAACATTGAAGTTTTAGTATGTTGGTTTAGATTTGGTATATGAATTATTAATTATAATATTTGACTATTTTCTTTGTATTCACTTCAATTCATGTTCCTTTCTGTTTTTTTAACTGTTCATTATTTGCAATATGTAGAAGAAAACATTATCTGCTTTTAAATTTAAAATATTCAAATAGTTCAAATTTATTGTCTATTACAAGCAAATTAAATTTGTTTGAAATTTATTTTAAATATGTACACTGGAACTAGAGAATGCTTTCAAAGAGATCTTAAATACGTAACTGGATTATTAATAATTATGTATTTTGTTCATACCCCTGTATTATCATTTGTTTTATCAAATTTGTATACTGTTTTGTTATCCAGAAATCTTTAATGATGTATCCTGATATTCACATTATATGTTTTTATCATTTTTTATAAATAAATGATATATTTTGTTTAATATTATGGTATTAATAATATGTAATATTTAAACTGAGATTTTTAAACTTCCAATTGTGACACTGTACAAATTTATATTTAATTAAATCATTATACAAAGATCAATTAGATTTATTTTGTTTGTTATCAAATCAATAAAGTTTACCTTGTTAATTGAAATTAATTTAATTAGATTATTATTTTAAAGTATCTCTTGGCTGATGTTGAACTTTCAAGGTCACATGTCACATCTTAGTGTGTGCATGTGACCTTGAAAGATGAGCCATGAGATGTGAACATTTTGTGCCTCAATTGTGCCCTATCATGTTTGGGATTGTAAATAAGGTTAGTGAATTTTGGAAAATCATTTGTCTAATCCCTCAGGGGGGCAGCTTATATAATAAGGGGTATCCTTATTTTACATTTATTTGCAATGATGGTTATTAGTGATCGAGACGTGGGTTTGCGCAAGTTACACATTTATGGTAGAATAGTTTGATAATGGTAATTACTGAAAAGTAACTAAAAGCGGACTTTTGTATCAAAAGCTGTAAAAAGAACAGAACATAATTACTAACATAATTAAGTCAAACTTTAGTTATTTCTAAGGTGTATTTTACCAATGAAGAGGTCGAGCTTTTGATAGTCATATTCATGTACTGATATGTAGAGGGACGTCTATTCGTGGTTTGAGGACGCGGATTGGAATAACAGTAAAGTGGCAAATCTGCTACATAGTAAGTTGGTACAACTAATGTGAGCCTTGCAATTTGGTTAAAACTGCTGTGTGACTACCATAGTAAAAGGACAGTTAACCATTGTAATAATTTATGGGATGTAAATAAATGTACACAAGTGTGTTTCGTTTTGAATTTCGCTGGCGAAGAAGCGCATGAGAGGGACGACATTACACCATTGGTCAACGGACCACTATCGCTCTCCTTTTCCCTCTAGCGCCGCGCGGATGTTCTGTCGCGCGCGCACGCTTCGTTTCTCGGAGTCTCGTTTTGTTCTCGTCGCGACTACGGCACGGACCAACCCAGTTCTATTCGCGCGACAGCGTCGCCATACGACGGACGTGTGTCGCTCCCGTGACGCCGCGACATCCGAAAAGTTTGGGAAACTTTTTTTTTTCCCCAGTGGCGGCCCTTGACGACGGTGACTTTCGCCCGTCGGACCAACGATGCCGGTGCGGTGCGGTGTGATTAATAGATCTGTGGCAGTGTAGTGTGTTATTCACGGCGACCGTTCCGTCGTTCCGTTTCAATTGAACGTTACTGTTTCGTCCGCAAAAGCGCGTAGCGAACGCACGGCGCGCGAGGGCCGTGTGTGGCTTGCTCTCCGCGTCCATCGGTGAAAGTAGACCCTTGTCGAGTTCGTAAGGACACGGGCCGCTCGCGACCAACTCGAAACGACACGTTTCGCGTGCAGTGGCTAGAGGAGGTGAGTGCCGTTTCGCATTTTGCCCACCTTTGCTTATGCTAAACATGTGTCGCGCAGTTTTGCACACTGTGACATTTGAAACAAACAAGTGTTACCATCACAATGCTTTAAATAACCGCCTAGTTTAAATCGTTTTTTTTCTCTATTAATGAAGTGACATTTTAACTTTCGGCTTTCTCTGCTACCTAACTGTGCTGGGTTGTAACCGAAATCGTATCAACGACATTCTAGCAGCTGAACGCTGTGAACGGCACTGCCATTCATGCATCGGTGTGCTCTTGCGACTGGGTCACTGCCCTGTACCCTACCTGTTGCTCGCCCGTCGGGCCGGTTCTCCCACAGCGGGCGGGACTGAAAAAATATGTCAGACCTCAGACTTATATTGGCCGAAGTATTTGTTTACGCTCGTCCGTTGGTTTCTTTTTAACGGCTGCCACAGGTAACACGCCCGCGGCTCTTGCGCGTAAAATCGCGTTCGGTTATCCGAGAGAGTCCCGTTACTCTTTGCACGTTGCTTAACAAGAGTTTAAATTATGCTCCATTGTGTGCATTTCTATTTACCACCGACCGAGAACGGAGCGTTGAAACGACCGATGGTATCTGCACGAATGCAAGAGAAGCGTTAATTTACTGATAGGTCTCGGATTCCTTTAACGGCACTTTCTTTGAATGAAACTAATAGAATTAGTGAAAGATTAAAGCTCTCAAAGGAATGTGAAAAGAAACGATTTTGTTGCGATCTTTATCTTACTTATTACAATTTTTATTTCATCGCAGACTTCAGTTTGTAGTTTTTTAGCAGAGGTATTTTTTGTTCCTACTACTATTCTATATATAATACTTTTATAAAATGTACTAACAAGATTGCCAATAATGGGAAATTGTTGCATTTTATACGTAGCATTGCAAAGTTCTGATGATGATAACTGTCGCAGTCGCTAAGCTTAGGTGTGGGTTCGATTCCTACACGGGACAAGTATTTATATAGTATCTGGGTGTTTATGCTCAAGGACAGTTGACGTCAGGCAGGCGGCCGGTTGTAAAAAAAACCTAACCAAACACCATTTTTTTATTAAAAAATTACTTTAAGATAATATTATCCTGTGTTGTAAGGACATTTGCAACACAGGATAATAATGGATGCGAAACAACCATCTGTGTGGACACAAATAGTTGTCCCGTGTGGGGATCGAACCCACGACCCTCGACGCCGAAGCCAATACCTAGGCAACTGCGCCACGGAGTCATGGCGTCATCGTAATCACCATTACAAACTCAAATGTTGTCCGACCCCACTTAGGTGGTATAAAGAAAGGCAGTAGAAAGATGAGGTCGTATAGTTCTGATCGCACGTCTTTCATAATTGCACTTGTACTATGGTGTCGGTAGGCCCACGCGACATGTATTTGCTGGCAAAATAAATAACTATAACAACATGAATAACGATCTTTGGTGTGTCATGAAAAAGATGTAGTAAAAGGAAGATAGAAAAAACCATTAGGATTTGTCGACGACTGCACGATGGCGTATTAAGACAAAATCGCTACACAAGTGTCACCAGTTTGGTTGACGAAATAATATATTGCCCGAACTCACATCCTTAAGGCCCATTTACATGGTGCCAGTTTCTTGCCTGTTGTATACAATTAAATTGAAGCAATAAATGAGTTGCATGGTCTAAACAACAAATGTTCTAAACAATTATTGCGCGCAATTTATTGCATTCAATTATTGCTCTTGTATGTACAAGAAAAAGGCATCGTGTAAATCACGTACAGTCTAGTTACTTATCGGAGGTTTTTCGTTGATAGTCGCCCCACGTCTAAGTTCGGTACACACGCGAATTCACATTATTTTTTCCCACGAAATATTTTATAGTTTGGTTCACAATTAATTCCAATTGTAATTACATGGAGGAAAATGTTTCTCCATTCTGTTATCGCTCGGTCTAGGCCTTAACGTGAATTTTAACAGCTTAAAAAACTTACGAAGCGGCCGATTTTAACAACCAAACTTTTTGTTGTTATTTGTTGATTTAAACCACCCGCGGGACAAGGTTCGTCCCAACTGCCGAGAAGGCTGGGGCGATGTGCCATTTATTTGAAACACGTGTAGGCCTCGATATGAAAATGAAAAATGTTTTATTTACATATCAATGCCATGCCAATCCGCAGTGGGGCCGCGTGGTTGACTATGCCATGATACCCTCTGTATAGAGGAGGCCTTTCCCCAGCTGTGGGACATGTATAGGCTGTTACTTTACTTTTATTTACATATTGGTTTACAACTGTGCATCCTAGCCCGCACACTAGGCGCAGGCTGCCTTATGGGAAAGTGTGAATATAAAAACATATGTGGTCCGTTTGTATATTGATGCAATTTTACATTCTTGAGTAGACTTTTAATTTTTCTTGTTTATTTTAAAACTACATCTAACTTGAATATGGCTGTTTGTTAGCATTATTTTTTTTGTTCCTTTTTCCTGTGAAGGAAGTGACATTTATTAATTGGTTGACTTTGATGCGATGTATTCACAGTTTAAATACACTCTTTACAATTAAATACACTCTTAGTCGACTGGTTTCGTATCTACCACTTTGGTGGATTAGTCTTCACAAAGAATCTTGGCGACTATTAATCGCTTGTTTATTTATTTCTAAACGTGCATATTTGAAGATTCGCGTTCAATTATAATTTACTATTAATTAACTTTGTTATATAAATTTGTTTAAATGATAGATAGTGAAGTACCTATACTGGAAAATGTTATTCTCCAAAAAGAGAGATACATTTCATAGATAAAAACATATTTGCATATCTTACCACTCTTCACGGCACATCACGCAGGGGTCAAATACATAATTATACATATATTTATTTATTTATTAAAATTTTATTGTCACACCTTATGATAAGGGCTACAATGGATGGATTTAATGAATATTGGCATTCTCCACCGGCCAAATACATTAATCAGGTTATAATTTTAAACTAACACAAATTAAACCTTTTAGATTTGGTTTTGACGTAACTCTGCCGGTACAGAGTAAATTAAGTAACGTCAAAACACCGCTTAAATATTTTCCGTTACTGAGCAAGTCTGCAGAGGGGAGACCAAATAAAGGTACGTTCATACATTATAAAACAGCACTTTAGGGTTCTCAAGCTTTCTTTTAGAAAACTGCAAGCCCAACCACCATAGAATTACGTCAATTCATTAATAATAGTAATTACAACTGCCTAGCTTTTTTAATACTTAAATATATTGAACTATAATCACAACCCGACATTACATTCTTATAAATCTGTGTAAAATAAGCCTGTAATGCTCGAAATTAAAACAGAATATGTTACGTGTAAAATATAATCTACCTAATTACGTTATACGAAAAGGTCACATATAGGTATTGCATTAAGCGTGTAATGTTTTTGATACAGTCAATTTAAAAAATCCATTTTACACAAATTTTTGTAGTCTTCAACTCAACGGTGACTTGTTGTTAGTTATTTTTAAAAAAAACAAAAAAACAAGGCGGTAACAAAACACAAAAACAAAACAAGGACAAAGCGGTTTTGGTTTAAGACATAAGCGGTACTATTTAACAAATTCCGTAGTAATAAAATCATTAAATATTTTATTACTTACTTTTATTTCATTTGCTTCAGACGTTATTCATTGATGACCAGACCGTTTTTTTATGCCTGTTAATACTCAAATCGTTTGTAACGACTTTGACTTCATTTGAATATCATAAAGCAAAAAACTACAATATTTGTGGGAAAGAACCTTAACAAATTATAAGTCCATTTCTTTTTCTTTTAGGCTAAGTACTACTCTAAATTTACATCTTTTATGAAACAACAATAAATCACAATTACTAACTCAAACAATGTGAGGTTCCAGTTCCATTGTTATCTCAACAAGTTTTTGTTTCGTCGAAGCAAAAGCGCGGGAAACGCCAGAGCCAACGACGCAAAGGGCGCGACATAGATGAGGTTATTTACGGAACAGGATGCGGGCAGAGAAAAACTTTTTTTAGGTTATTTGATACACTGTATCTATAGCTCAGATCAGTGCGAACCGGTTCGGTAACTAGTTCTTGCCAACAATCTGTCATGATACGTTGAGTAATACGTATTTAATATATCGCACGGTAACGTAATCTCGACACTTATGTTGTCACTGGCTAAAAGTAAAAAAAGTAAAGTAACAGCCTATACATGTCCCACTGCTGGGCAAAGGCCTCCTCTATAGAGAGGGTATCAGGGCATAGTCCACCACGCGGCCCCACTGCGGATTGGCGGACTTCACATTTCTTCGAAATATATATTTTTTTGTTTTTATTTCGAAAATATGCAAGTTTCCTCACGATGTTTTCTTTCACCGCGGAGCACGTGATAAGTCAACACTAAAGTTAAAAACTTCATTGGTGCCGGCACCGGGGATCGAACTCAGGTTGCTCGAGTATATTGAATTAAAGGCAAGCGCCCGGACACTGAGCTATCACGGCTCTAACACTAGAACAAAACAAAAACAAAATGAAATTCAAAAAAATCTAAATTTAAAATCTAGAAAATTTTGAATATACGTTATGAAATGTTATTTTTTAATTGTCATTTTAATAAAGGGTAACAAAATCCCAGAACACAAAAAAAAGAAAAGTTATTAATTTTTTATCTGTTATTATTCAATTTGCGTATGACATTCCATACGTATTAGTATTCTTTTCGAAGTTGCTTAAATCCGTTATCGTTTGCTACGTTAACAGAGATGCCTATTACACGTGTTAATAGATGAAACTAATTGAAATGTATTATTTTGAATTAGGTACAAGATTTAGGATCTTTTATGTGACTTCTTTTGTTCTTATACTTTATACATTAATGGAAATTTTACATGGCGGTTTATTTATTTATTTAAAAGGTTCACCAACGTACGTTCACATATCTCATAAAACGTTAAAAAGATGTCACTTAAAACATAGTTAATTACATATGTGACCAACATTTACAGGCGAATACCACAAACACCAAAAACAGAAAAAA